TTTTTCTTTTTACTTGTTTAAATTATTAGTATCAGTAAAGTCTAAAAAATACAAATGCAAGAAAAGTAGTATCTTATTTAATGTTACACATAGTTTCATTAATATTTATTTATAAAATGTCTTAGAGCATTCGGCGAATATGTTCACAACTATCGTTCGCAATTATCACGTGCGTCAGATTTACGCATAAATGCAATTAATTAGAAGAGAAATTACTTTGGTTGGAAATGGATCTGCGCAGAATCTTTTTCTTTTTCTTAATAAAATTGTTAACATCATGAAAAAATCAGGTTTGTGCTGAATAGAAGAAAGAAAAGTGGTAATAATAATCAAGTTATTGTGAGGCGACTTGTTTCACTCATATCGTTCAGCTGCTTTAGCGAGTTATCTTTTAGATCACTTACTGATTGATTTGATTACCAATGACGTGTTCTTAATGAATCTAAATCATTCTCGTCTGCTTGATTTTTATCACCTTGACCTTGATTCCTCTACCTATTTCTTCCATTTTTTTCAAATCAACCTTTGCTTTTATTGGTCTTTCAGTTGATTCAATAGCAATCAAATGATTTCTTCCATCAATAAATAGTTGCAAATAATCAGTTATTTTGATACAAAGCCATATTTTTGCTTTATTGCTTTGCTTTCTGATTAATGCTAACTTTAACTGAGATTTTATACCAAAAATGTTAAATAGTTTTTTTAATAATTTAATTGCTTCAAATATAAAATTTGAATAAATTTTTGCAGTACTCTTTTTCAGTTGTCAAATAGCACTAAAATTTTCAAAAGTGTTCACTTGAAAAAATAATTCTGACTCAAATGAATATTTTGTAGCTTCTGAATTCAAACGGTTCAGTCTGAAGACTTTATCAAAGTAAACAATAACTAGTCGCTTAATTGCTCATTAAATTTTCTCACTTACCATAGAAAATCTCGGAAGTTATCATAAACAAATTAATTTCCCTTGCATGTACAGACTTGAATGCTAAAGTTTTGATTCTAAAATCGATTTTAAAAAACTTGTTTAGTTATATTTGAATTGATTTGTTCGAATTAACATGAAATCACATCACAGTAAACAGTAAACACTGTGGTTTTTTCTCAAATAAATGTACATGATTTTAGTCTTTATTAATCAAATTTTCACAAAAACTATTCTAATTATTACCTCTATTCTTATTCCTATTCTTATTATTATTATTATTGTTATTAATAAGCAATAATTATTTACAATCATTTTTCGTTATCTTCTAGTACATCACTATTGTTAATAGTGTTATTTTTTGGTTTTTTGTGCTAGAATATTGATACTTTCATTCATTTCTTTCATTTTTTGATAACTTTTTATCACTCTATTCTATTGATCACAAGTAAGTATTTATTAATGTGAGTTTTTCAACACGAAAGTCAAATATATCATAAAATTGCTTTTAACAAAAATGAAGAAATGAGTTTGCCTTTTTATTGCTAATCAAACAAACTAAGTTAGAGCTTAAGCTGACGCGTCATAATTTTATTTATTAAGCATTTGCAATGATAACTTTATTTTTGCAAACTTCAAATTCTCGCTCTGAATAACACTGTTATGGCTGATTCTGTGGAGTCTTGTTTTTCTTCGTTAATAAATTTGAAATTTTCTCGGTGACCTTTGCTCTTTTCAGAAATTTTCTTCGCTTAACTCTATTCTTATCAGTTTTTTGAACTGTCTTTGACTGCTATCATTGAAAATGCACTATAATATTTTACTTACATTTATTTAAACTTTTATCATTTTGAATTGATACATAACACATAAATGATAGTTTCAATGGAGAAGTATAGTTTTGTTGATTGCACAAGTTTATTTTTATCAATCAATAATCATTTTATAAAAAGAGCAAGAAGTAAAAGTGATTACAGAATACAATGTTTGAGTCTTTAGTAACCTGTGAATAAATATGCATAAATTAGCATTTTTGGAAAATGAAATAGCATCCTGGCATTGATAAGCTTGAAAGCGAAGTGAAGTGCTGCCCTCTATCAGATTGGGTTCAAAACTTGCGTACTATTCTTGTCATCAATGGAAAGGTTTGTTCTGTCCTTTCATAATTCAGTTATTGCATTGTAAAATAAATCTGATTATTGTTATTATTATCATTATTATTATTTTTATTATTATTATTTTGAATTATAATTTCAGTACTTTGTTCACCTCATCTAACTCAAATATCTAATCGCTTAAAATTTCCTTGTTTGATATCGAAATACATCAAAGTAACTTGTAAACGTGTACAACACTTTTATGAACAAATTACTGTATTGCATCACTTTTGTGATGACGTGGCATTTATTTAAGAGTAAAATTTTGAGTGTTGAATGCATTTCCGTGTATGCATCTCTATCTTGATATTTTTACTTTGCAATGCATTTTAATACGAAGAAATACTTATCGATTAAAAATGTTCCTTGTGAGGATATCCCAAATATTCTGATCACCTAACCAGTTGATCAGAAGATTTCAAAAACTTATTCAAATAATCAGCCTCAATAGTTTTGCTCTCAATTTATTTCCCAGTAGAAAGTTGTAAAAAAGTTTTGTAGACTAAAGTCTTATTGGCGTCAATTTTAATTTCAGTATTTGTTGTACTAAAAAGTTTTTATCGATTGAAGCGAAATTTTTCTGATATTTTATAGATCATTTCTAATTATTGTTTTCATCTTTTTTTTCGTATAAATCAGAATAAAATTTGCAGTTTGATTCGAAAAATATATCATATACAGATTTTAAGAACATTACAGTACTGTAATATCAGGAACGATTAAACAACGGTCCAAAATTATTTATGATCTCTTATGTTCATAAATGATGTCCTTTGACATGTCCTATGTTCAACTCAGAGATACCGTAGTATTGCACCGATATACAGTACTTGAATATATTTTAATAAATATTTCGCTGCATTAATCCTTTTTTCTCTCTAAGTTTAATAAATGTTGTGATTATATTAATAATAAATTACTATCATTGCCTTAATAAAAGTTAAAATACTTCAAAAACAAAAAAAAACAAAATGCAGTGAATTTTTGCTTGTTTACTTTGCATAATAATCCTTTTGCGAATTTAACTACCATTCAACAGTTTCAAATGTCTTATTACTAACGCTTTTTTTCACTTCAACATTTCTATCTGCTGACGTACGTTTATTTTATTGTTACGTGACAATAGTCTTTTTTTAAATGCAAGTTTGTTTTATTATTGAATGCAAATGATAATGATAGTAAAGAGTTGACAATTTTGTTTTATTTCTCTTCTGCGATAACAAAAGATATCAGTGTTTGTTGACGTGTCGCTATCAACCGAATCTTTTGTTCATTCCTGCGCAATCCTTCTCACATCTTTCGATTTGACTTTTGTCCGATATTCCTGCAAACCATAACTTATTTACTTCAAAACAATAACATCACTCAATGCGACATCTTGAATAACTCTTATTTCAAATTCAGTATGCAAATTTATTCAAAGTTTATAATAAATCGCAAACATAAACTTGTTGTCACTAGTGTTTCGCTGCGTTACAATTTGTCCTTCGAATAATTTTTTCATAAATTCATTCTGATTTGTTATTTGTTTGCATCGCATATATTTTGACTGATCACAATTTTATTTTTTGTTATTCGTTTAACTTATTCCCTTTCTATTTTTATTTTTATTTTTATTCGTTGTATACCATATTACGTTCAAACTTTATACATCAACTAAATTTCACATTTTTAAAACATAGAGTGAAAATATTGAAAGCTCTTCTTGATAATATCCAAATCCCATGACTATAAATGATTTTCTTACTCCTTTACAGTGTCAAAATGTGATCAGAAATTGTACCATAGCATACATGAGAATATATGTTTTCATATTGAGACAATGTGATTTGTAGTATATGGCATGGTCATATATTGCGCAAATTACGCAATATGAAGTAGAGGATTTAGAGTTGGACGCGGGTTCAAATTTAATTCATCTAATTAATTTAGTTTTTTTCAGAAATTTTTTTCTTTGCTCAATATTATTATATTCATATTTTTGTTTTTGTTTTTGCTTAAATTTGTGCAAACATTGTGAATTTTTTGTTTACAAAAAATTATGAATTAATTTTTTGTTTACATTGACGTTTCACTGAGCAATAATATTGTCAAAAATATAGACAAAAAATTTTAGCACACTGTGACATACACATCAGTAAAATGAAAAGCTTTGAATAATGTTTTGCAAGGATGATCAATTTTTACCTGAATCGTTGTCAGTCAAGCTGTAATCCTTTTACTCTTGCTTGAATCTCTATTTCGTTGCACTGTTAAAAAGTGTGCATTCACACCAAGCAAAGATAGGTCAGAGTCCGTAAAAATTTGAATAATTAAATTAAAATTAATTTTTGAAAAATAATAAAATCTAAATTTAAAAAATGCTGAATAAAAATCAGAAGTTTTACTTCAGATGCGCAGAAATCGCGAATTATAACAAAATTGCTGGCAAACTTGAATTATTAATAATAAAGTAGCATAACAACACATGGCAGATGTGACTTATTAATTTGACAGCAGTTTATGTTGTCATATTTTGTCAATATTTAACCGGTCAGTATTTGCAACTGATGGGTATGGATATTAATTTGTTAGTTTACCATAACTATGTTGTGATATTTGATATTGTTATCATAAGTTGACCTTATAGGTTAGTTAACTTGCAAAATTCATCGTGAAAATATTTTAATAGGATATTTGCTTGGCAAGTTATCAGTTTTACTAATGGATAAATGCTTTTATGACTTTTATGAGGTGATGTTTTCTAATTTAATGAGATTTTTACCAAAATTATTTTTTATGAGAAAAGAACAACGCTTTGCGTTACAATTTTATTTCTTTGCAGTTCTAATTTTTTTGCTAAAATGCATGCTTTCACGTTCTAAATTCTTTGACTGTCTAATATTATATTGTTTTATTTGAGATTATAAATTATTTTCAAACTGTAACCTCAAGTGTAAAAACCTCATTAAATTAAGAAAAAAAAAGTAATCCTCAAGTGAAATATAAAAATAATGTAAAATTTTAATAATGATTTTTTAGGTTGGAATTAATAAGATTAAGGCATGTTTTTCGAAGTTATGATGATTTTTAGCAAAACATGTCTCATTTATTTTTGCTAGCGAAAAAAATGTACGTTGTATTTCAAAAGTTTGGAGAAAGCTTTAAAAATTTATCATTCAGTGGTTGTTATGACGTGTGTGAACAAGCATTCTGTTGTGCTACTTAATTAGCATTTATTTTTTTAGGTGATGCTTTTTTGAGCATTATAAATAATCATTCGTCATCGTACGTAATTAATTCTTCATCTGAACTCATTAATGCGTGAACTTAAGTTTAAAATAACGTCTTATTTCATTCACTAATGACATATTGCTGTGAATTTTGGATTGATTTTCTCATGTTTAAAACTTTGAAAAATTTTTCATAAAGCTATCTAATTCTTTGTACTTCTGTGAAAGCTTCAAAGTTAATGAATATAAAGTTTGCCTCCAAATCAGCCATCTTCATATCGTATAAATGACAACTGCTATCCACTCTTAGTCTTTTTTATTAGTTAATAAAAAAGTCGTTATATGAATGATGTCATTGGTACTTGCTGCATCCAAAACTGCTGCTACTTTTTCACACTAATACTTGATTCGCAGGAATACCGTATTGTAGTATTACTGTATGACCCATTAAACATCACGGTATCCTTTAAAGATTCCAAGAAAAAACAAGTTTTGTGTTTTTGTTGCTGTATTTGCATGTTTTCTTTGCAGATTAAAATATGCGATGGATGGTAACGGTAGCAAAATCATTAAAAGATATGTACTGTTGATGTTGCTGCTATTAATTGATTGTATGGTGCACCAAGTTTTGGCTACAATCGAAGCAAGCATCGATCTTGGCACTGAGCTACCGTTTATGGCTACCGCATTTGTGCAAACAGGCAATGAATTGCATTATTTTTCAGATATCGAATATCATGAAACATTAGTCAGCGGTGCACCTGTCAAAAGGTAGTTATTTTATTTTAATTTTGTTATTTGAATTGTTTTTAATACTGTTTTTTACTGCACTTGCACGCATTGACTCTTTGCATAGAAATATAAATTAAATATTGATATTAAGTTTAGTAGACTCAAAATATTGATTGATACTCTTGGATTACGTGGTTATTGAAAGCGATTTCAATACTATTGAGAAGAAAAGTTTGAATTAACTACTTAATTCTTCTTTATATTTTTCTTATAATTTGCGCACGAGTTTGCAGCAATAGTGATGAAAACGGATTAATGCTCAATAACCAATTACAATTTAGTCCAAGCGAATTGCAGTTTGGTGAACAGTATGTTTTTTATTAACTTCACTGACCAATAAGTTCAAAAACAATTGAATAATATTTCCTTGTGCATTTTCTGTAAAATGTCTATTGCAATTAATTTACAGAATTCAAAAATATTGCTATCTGTGCGAATCAGAACGCGTAATATGATGACATTAGTAATAAGTTGAATTGTTTACTTTCTAAAATAGTTCGTAAAATTCTTTCCTTCAATTTTTCAAACAGTTTAGATGGTTAGGGTCATCAAATCAACAGGAAGTACTAATTTTTAATCCAACCGCTTCATCAGTTCGTTTTGATGCTATTTCTGGTTCAACTGTTCATTTTCACTGTTCATTCCCTTATCATAAGGTAAACTACATAATACTTTGAAAAATGCAACGAACTGTTAGGCAGTTACATTTTGTTATCAAAAGATTTGCATTCATGGTTGACAATCAATGCAAGATAAATTAGGTTAAAAAATTGTTATTGAAGTAACGAAAACTTTTTATAAATATTTTTACCGACTGATATTATTCATCTCCTCTTAACAGAATTTAAAGCTACTTATCTGTCACATATTGTGTGCGAAATTTTCGTTTTCATGTATGTTTCAGACCGTGAATCCTGGTGAATCGACTACTTTCAGAGTTGTTTTTCTGCCCCGACAGGAGGGCTTAATCGAAAATGTCCTTTTTGTGCATTCATCTTTAGGAACATTCACTTATTCTGTATGCATTAAATCTTTATCATTTTATTATTCTGAAGTAGTTTTATTTAATAGTACGTAACTTTACACCAATTTTTTTGTAATCAAATTTAAATTTTGTAGTTACATCTCAGCTTTTCAAAATAGATCATTCCAATTCAGTTCAAAATTAATTTCAAGAAATTGAGTTTTTTCTTTGCAATTTTGCTAATAAAGTGTATAGCAAGATATGTGTGAGTCAATTTTTATTATTCACTCAGTAAGCCATATTTACATGAACAACATTTATTTGTTTTACTTTAAGCTTTGTTATGTGTTGATCAGTAAAGTTACCAGAAAAAATGTAAAAATTTATCTAATGTAGGTCAAAGGTAAAGGTGCAGCAAGTACATATCGAATACGTCCGTGGATTAAAGTGAAAGTACCAGTAAATGGGACAATGATATCACCAATTCATTTTCACAATCCACATTCAACGACGTTACATGTTACAGAAATATGCACCAGTGGTGGTGATTTACATTTAGAACTGCCGCATATCGCACCTGAAACCTTACATCCAGTTTCTTTATGGGTATAGTTGAAGTTTTTTTAAAAATCATATTGCAGATCTCGATATATTCAAAAACTCATGACAGTTTCACTCATTATTTGAAGCTATGACTCAGAAATTCCTGAATATTCATTATGTCTAGAGATTATTCGGAATCATTAATTTTTCCCATGCATTGTGGGTGCTTCATAAGCTTCGCAAAGTATTAAAAGTGCATTGTGTTGCTTACATCTAATCATATAAAGATTTACATTTTTGATTTCAAAGTTTTCGTCTGCGTATAAGACATCTTTCCTAGCATTTATTTAGCTTTCTAACTTTTGCGAGATTCTTTATTTTGTCAGGAATGCTTCACACTTAATTTGCAAAGTCAAAAATTGATGAAATAATTTGTGTTTAGAACTTTTTTCTGTTATTTTCTTAATGAGTTATCAAATTTTTCAGAACATTGCTCCATACGAGACAAAAACTTTAGTAAGTGCAAAGTTGTTGGGGGTTTGTAAGCGAAATTCGACAGTATATGTAAAAATCAGGACTAGTAGAAAAGAGCGTATTGTAAGTCAATTTTGGAATGATTCCAATCAAAATGAAGTGGACGTACAAAACATCCAAGAAACATTCATCATTCCAGTTGAGGTAATATTATGATATATTTTGAGGAATGAAATTCAAATTATGCAGATGAATATTTCAATAATAATGTAATAGTTGGATTTTCCAAATAGTTACTTATATATGGTATTAAAAAAGCTGCTCATATATAAATATAACTGCTTGCTTTCGTAAGGTGAAGTGTATTCAATTTTTTTTTCTAGGTAGAAATCACTCAAAAGCGTGGATTATATCCCAGCGTTGACTTGTTGGATTTCGGATTAATAAGGGCTGGTGAAAAATCTCCTGAACTAATGTTGGAAATTATTTCAACGCTTGAAAAAGGCATCGAAATTGATGTACTGCAGCTGTTATTAGCTTTGAATTCAGTTGTGATATAGAAAAAATCTTAGCTTTTTGTTTAATTTTCATTCACACTAAATTGGATTTCGTAATGTTGAGCTGAAACCATTAGTAATGTTCTTAATATATATTACATTGTAAATGTAGTTACGCTTCACTGCATTTTGAATGTATTTACAACTGGTGTTGGATATTGAAAAAGTAAACATTTTTTTTGCATGTTCTCAACTCTATAGAAATATAAAAATTCTCTTTAAGAATCTTTATGCGGAGCGAAGTGATAAACCAAATGGTATTTATATGGAGTTTGCTTCGAAACCACCAATTTCTGTAAAGTGCGGAGCTAGACAACAACCTGGTAACTTTTTTTAATCGTCAAATTTCGTATCCGCGTGAAATGCTGTTGTTTAAAATAGTGTAGTTTCTTATGCTGCTAATGCTATTTCGAAGAGTAATATTTTAAAAAATCATTTTTGAAATGAGATAGGTAGATCCTTCATTTCAATCTTCTTGGTCTTGTTGTTTTCAAATGTTTAATTCACTTTTTCTAGGTGCATCAAAAGAAATAGCTAAAATAGTATTTGACACAAATTTGTTACGTGCTAATGAAGAAGTCTCGAAGCTAGTACGTTATAGAGGAAGGATTGTTGCTGAAGCTCGAGGTGGTATCTTTAATATAACAGTACCGTATGTTGCACAAGTATATTATGGGTAAGATGATTTATGGAAGCTTTCTAAGTAAAGTAGGGAGTAAGTAACAAAACATGATTCTACTGAAGATATTTGATGTAAGAAACATATCTACTTTTTTAAATTGCTTTATGGTTTCAGATCATTAAAACCTAAAATGGAGGATATTGCATTTCATAGTCTTCTACAGCCACCTGTATCGCGGAGTATCTCTCTAACTAACGATCTACCATTTGGAGTTGTTATTTGGAATGTGACTTTAGATTCAGATGCACAGCGATCATTTCAAGTATTTTCCATTTTCCTATGATCTAAATTATCAAATATGTTAGCTGTAAGAGTGGTGCAGTTCATTGTATATTCATTACGTTTGTATCTTTACCTTCATGGCAGTCAAAACATTTATATAAAAGTTCCTATATATGATCGCGTGAAATTGCTGTTTCTGCAGGATTTTTTGTGTAGCTGAATCTTGAATTTAAACCTTGAAAGTTATTTGATGTTTAATCACCTATCTTTCATAAAAGTTTTGAAAATCTTGTAAAATGTATTTAGGCAAAGTTGTTGTCAAATGTCGTAGTAATTGTTGCTGGTGAAACGAAGCCGGTGATTTATTTAAAGTACTTTGGCAAGGAAAAAAATGGATTTACAGCATCTTTCACAGTTCACACTAATGTTACATCCTTTAAAATACCACTCGTAATTTTCAATGGAAAGCTCAAGGTGTATTTACCAAACTGCATATAGCTACAATTTTTTTTGGCGATGCGTAGTTTGTATGATAGGATCTTACTGAATTGTTGAAATATTTGAACATGTTTAATTCATTTTGATTGCATGCACACAAGGTCTCTTGATATTAATGTTTCTTACAGATAATTTTGCAATCTTTAAATCAAAAAGAATTTGATTTTGGATTGATGGATGTTGGAGACAGTCGTTCAATACAGGTAATCAATTTTGTAATGTCTTAATATTTTGCTAGGTCGAGAGTAGCTAAAAAAGGCTTACTACAATTAATTTATTTTATGCTGTTATGAAATAGCTGAAATTTTACTATCTGTAGTGTTTCAGTTCGCTATAATAAATGAGAATCCTGTTACCATTACTATAAAAAATCTAAGAAGAGCATTACCATCAGTAACGACGTTATTACTGTTGAATGTTGAAACTAAACAAAACGCTGGCTTAAATTTCACGAACCACCGGAAAACAGATTTATCGCACATCTGGCGCGAGGTTTTAGTGCCTTGTTATGTTCAAAAATAATGGAGAATCTATTATTATTTTTATAAAGAATGATTGAGCTAAATTGCTTGATGAATTAAATCATTAACTTTTCAGGGCGAAAATTTCCAGTTACCTGGCTCCAGTTTTGCAGTATTTAAATATACACTACGAGCTTCAAGTGATTATGGAGTTGTAGCTAGTAATTTTATCATTGAAACAGCTTTTGAACATGCGTATGTTTTTCCGCATTTGCGTGTATTCAAATAATGTTTACTGCACATTAATAAAATCGACGTTCACTATTTGATTTTTTAAAAATTATGATCATTAATAATGATACTCAAAATGAACTAATATATATGCTTTAAAGTTGACCCTTTACAGATCGTTTATAGTCTCCTATACAGTTGGTGGTGGTACAATTGTAACAGTACCTGAAGTGCTTACTTTTGTTGACGCATTTCCTGGTCGGATAAGTTCACATTCTTTAAAAGTAATTACAAATATTCGTTTCTTGGAATAAATGTATATTTTGAATGCTTCAGAAGTATTATCAAAGTCTTACTATTGTGTGTTCTGTTAATTATGAGACTTAACGGGTTTTTCTAAAGCATAGTTGTTAATTTTATATATTTAAATGTCAGATGAAAAGCATTATTGCGTTTCAGGTATTTAGCACATTCAAAGAAGATATGCGAGTCTTGCGTATCTCATCGTTATCAGGGGATCACAGAGTTTTCTTTGATGTACCAAATTCCGAAAATCCTCCGATGATCAGAGCTGGAACACTGTCGGATCTCGGCCGTGTGCACGTCATAGCGAGTGCCAATTGCACAGACAACTGTTATCTCGGTTCATTTGTAGCATTATTCAACAGAAAATTTATCTTCAAAACAACTCTTTTTTTGCTTTTATGTTTTTGTTTAACTTATTTTTTATTCATTGAATTAGGAGTTGGTAAAAAATTTGATATAATTTAATGTATTTCAGGTATGCCATTGCACACGGCCGATGGACAATGGTTTACTTATGGTGTAAAGCTACCACAAAACCTTGCAGAAATAGACTACTATCTTTATAACAGGTGTGATTTTGTAATTCTTAAATTTTGTTGGAATGGTTTCATATTAATGAGTGCAGCTGGAAATTTAGAATCCATATTTCAGATTTAGACGAAAATTTTTGGCGCTTCAGGCGGAAGGCAAGAACTATGTAAATGAAACCATAATTATTGAAACCGATAAAGTAATATCTTTTTAGTGTGCTTGTTAAAATATTTCGGTTAAATCCTGCTCAATTAAAAATTTTTTTGTCTTGGCATCCTTAGTTTATTTCAGGTTAAACAGCTAGAAGTACCTTTATTGGCAGAACTTGTTTGGCCGAGACTTTTAACACGTTCGACTGTTCATTTTCCTCTTACAGCAGTAGGAAATTTTACGGTTAATTTTGTGAAATTTTGCAAGAGGTTCATTAATTGTTTGCAAGTAATATTGTTTCCGATTGAAAAGTCTCACTTTTTAATTATTGATTGTTCTACTGAACTAACTTTATTTCAGATAGTGAATTTAACATTAACAAATCCTTCATCATTACCTGTGGCAGTACAGTTGTTACCTTTGGTGATTTATCCCGATGCCGATGCACTAATTGATTTTTTTCGCAGTGAATTAGATTCTCCACTTACAGAACCAGTTGAAATGAACGAAACTCTGATGTTTTCATTGCGCGATACAGAATTATTCACTTTAAAGCCTGATAGTCCCGTACCGAAATTAAGGGAACAACTAGAAGATGTTCTCGGAATACAGGTTCCAAAGTATGTTTAAAGCCTGGATCTCATTCGTAATATTTTCAATAGTCTGAGAAATTATTTATTTCTTTTGTTTTATTAAATATTGCTTTCTAGGTTTACCTTATCGATGTTATTACAACCAGGTATGAAAGCACGAGTTCGCATTGGTTTTTTGCCTTCTGATTATCTTCTTCGTTCTTCTTTACTGCTAATTCGGTATAAGATTTTAGATTACTACTAATTCTTTCATCGCTAATTAAAAAATTTATGCCATGTATTAGTTTGCTTATTTGTGATAATTCATTGCGAGGTCTCTTTAAAAAATTATATCATTAATAGAAATTACTACAGGGAATTGTATCATTTTAATTTTGCAATAAATATAAATTTATTTGGGACATTGGAATTTTTTTTTAACTTGAATTTCTAGCAACAATTTAACGGTACTAGAACCAGTTGTTTTGTACGGTCGTGGAGCGCATATGGATATGCAAGTAGAAGGCCGTGCTGCAAGAAGTCGTGATCCATTAACTTTTGAGATACAACCTCATCATCTTTCCGATTGTCATAATCCGAAACGTTTGTTTTCCTAATTTGTTAAGACAATGTAGATTCTTCTGTTCATTTGCTATTTGGTTATAATCATGACTTAAGTTTCAGGTTTAACGCACAAACTTTTCACGACACTTACTGTGAAGCGTTCGTTCACTGTTGTTAACACTGGCGAAATAGCATTTACTGTCGTCAATATGAGTATTAATAACTTTGCTTGTGAAAATCGAGGTTTTCGTATTCTAAACTGTCATCCTTTCAGACTGAAACCGAATGCAACACACATTCTGGACATTGCGTTAGTGTCTCTTTTTCAGTTGTAGAAGAGATATTCGTCATTATTTAAAATGATTTTTTTGTAAATATTTAGTCATCTTATCTGAAATATTAATAAATAAATAAACTCCAGAGGTGAATACTAAACATTTTCTTTAATTTACGTCTTGGGAGCTTCATTTTATATTCGTTTTAGGTATACGCCTGATTTTTTGATGTCTTGGAACGAAGCTACTCTGCAATTTTATATGCACATGAATGGAACATCCTGGTTGTTTCCAATTGGCGCATCTGTACCACGTCATATGTTGGCAAAATGTCATTCAGCTTTGCCTCGTCCACCTTTTGAAAGTCTAATGTATTATTCTTGTATATCTGCATTAATGTGAGCTTTTATTATCAATATTCACTTTAGTTCATTAAAGAGCATTTGAACATACTACCATATATAGCAATAATTTAACGTTTTTAGTAGTTTCCTTCATGAAACTAGCATGTCAAGAAAATATTTTAAGTTTAAATCTTAGAAATTAACCTTTCTGCTGATACTGTTTGTTAATTTTCTCGTCGAAACTTGGTTTTCTAGTTTCTTCCAAGATTTTGTCAAAGTTAATTATTTCAAGATTTTGTCTAATATGCGTAATTGCTTGCGCGTATTTGGAAGGTGATCGAACAGTTACATGTGCTATAAAACAACAGTCTGGGCAGATACGACAAATTTTCGATCTGAATGCTGTTGATCCATTGCTTAGCAGTGAAAGTACTTTCTCTTCTCATTGTAATTTTTTTTACTCATTTTAATTCTAAATCAATGTCACTTTTTGTTTATTTTCCGCATAAATTAATCCATTTATTATCATTAAATATTTTTCTTACATTTATTTTTTTTAAAGTTTTTCATTGGAAATTTTTTTATTTAGAAAACGTGCTCATCACTTTTGGACTGTCAGCATCTTATGATTTATGATCTAGTCATGCAATAAAACTATTGCGAAAGGAAAAAATTGATGTAATTATCTTACATAGGTCATAATCTTTATTCTTCTAGCAGTTATGAAGTCTTCAAGATCTCGGCGGAATGTTTTGCATTATTCAAAAGAATCTTCGTTGTTGGTACGCTCATTCTGGCAAACAGCAAATAATATTCTTTGGTTGTTTTCATTGGTCTGGCAGTTCCGTAGTGATGAGGTTTATCATATTTTTGTGTTAAGGCTGCAATTTTGATTTTATTTAAAAGTCATTTTCTGGTCTTAAAATGATTATTTGAAAAGAAAATATATACATTTGCTGTTAATATCTTTCAGGTATCAAATTTTCAGCCGATGAAGCCAGCAAAAACACGACAGACGAAGACACTAATTAAATGCAATGTTACTTCGGCTTATTCTGTAAAAGATATTATGAGTAATGGTTCATCACAGTCAACTATGACATCGGATTCATCTAGTCGGACGACGAGTTTTTCTGATGTAACAGAAAAACGATATGGTCACAAAAGGTTTGCACCTCATTCAATTTCGATTTTTAACAAAGTATTTTTTAAATGTAAAGGACTGATTTTTTCTATTGTCATATGGTCATGTGAAATTTTTTCGTGGGCTAATGTTTCTTCAAACCTATCCTAATAAATCATTATAAAATAATATTAATATATTTGCTAAAAATTTGTTTAAATTCTTGATTGAAAAAAATATACTTGAATGTTATTAAATATGACATTTGAGTACAGATTTTTATTAAATGTATTAATATTATTTGTATGAATAGAATATGGATCTCGGATGCAAAATGTATGCCTCCGATAAAGAATGATCGGCACTTAATTCGATATCATTTGTTTCGCTTTCAAAAACATTGAGATTGCATATTAATGTATGAATTTCGTACTTGCTCAGGTGAAAATAAAGTTGCAGCTCTAGTTCTTCTCCGCATTCGATTGGATACCCGTCACATACTGATCATTTGCTGAAGAAAACATCTTCCAGTGGAGAGTACAAATCTACCAAAGAAAAAGTAATGTTTTTGGAGATTATTTGTTATGAGAAGTAATTTTTTACTGCTTTTTCATTTTTATGTTCATCTTTGTGTTCATTATTTAGCTTGCTGAATTAAAAGTTTTCATGTTATTTTCACCATATTTGGACACATACTAATAATGAATATATTCAGCTTTTTTTTCAAGTAGATACCTTTGCATTATTTCATCAAACTTTTAAAAAGTGACTAATAAAGTTTGTCTTTGAAGCTTAAGGCTGAGAGGAAATCGTCGTGGAAAATGAAAGAAGCAAAAGAAAAGAAAAGTACATTTAACTTTTTTTTTTTAGTTCTTAATTATATCTCACAGTTGACAATTTTAATTTGGGGCTGGTAGAAAATGGTTTAATTTTGTTTTCAGTAAGAATTCAACCGGTTCTTGTTTTTTAGCAAGTTTCCAGAACATTTAGTTTTGGCTTGTTTTAAATTCAAACAAGTAGATTCATCATAAATATGTGCAAAGTAGAACTATAATTTTAGACTCCAATAGATTACGATCGACAGTCACTGAAACTGCTGCTACGTTATGGAATTTGCATGATTCCAATGTATATTCGAAAAAGTCAGGATTGAATAGCAATGAAGAGTGTACTTCTCCTCGAAGAACCAAAAAATCGGCCCACGATTATGTATCACTAAGTGTTGCTGCAGTGCAGACCACGCCGACTCTAGAGAACGGTGGCAATTGGTTATCAACAGATAATGAAAAAGCTGTTGACGCAAGGTATGTTCTGTTTAATGATGTTCCTGATTTAGGTATTGGTTTATTATTATCTTATGTTTGTATGCATGGCTAGTTATCTGAGTAAATTAATTTATGGTAAAGTGTTTTTGAAATATATTAAAGTTATTGCAGATTGGATGCAGATTTGAGTGATACAAATGCTCTACCTGAATGGGTAGATGAACCTGTTACTTTACCCAGTAATTTTGTTTTCTTGATCTTTTACAGAAGTAATAATATCTGCTTTAGCGGTGCATATATCCAGTGTAGTTATTCTTTATACATTTATTTTTCAAATAATTATTTGTTGATAATCGAAATTTGAATTTGTTTTTTCAGACGCTAATGTTGATGAAGATTTCGTTGCTTTAGCAAATGCTGCTGAGCGTTTGTTTTCATCTGGAGTTAAATTACCTTCTACTCGACCACCACCTGTTACTATTGTTCATCCATTGCAATCTGAAAAGAAAATAGACTTGCAAGAAAAGCAAAAGCTTTTTTCTAAAAACGGTGAGAATGATTGCGAAGTACTTATAAATGATATATGTAGTCATATTAAAGTTCATTAGGCCAGTATAGTTATTATATTTCCTCTTCAGAAGATTTCGGTGAGAGAAATGAGAATATTTAACGTAGTTAAGCAAAAATTTTGTCAACTTTTTAATATCGCTAAAAGGCTGAAAATTCTTCATTTTGTGACATTTTTGTAGATGAAGAATTGAGTCACAGAAATACTGCGATACTAGGTGCAGTCGGTTCAGAAAGATATGAGTATAAAGCAAATGGTAACCGACCGAGTGCATTCATTGAACAATTGCAAAAGGAACGAAAATTAGCTGAAGATCAGTATTTGAGAAACAAGCGCCTGAAAGGTCCCATCATGTTTAATTAATCAAGTAGTTTATCAATAAATATATAAATATTAATAAACTCGAAGTAGAATATAGAAGTGATTTTGAATTCATAGAATTTCATGTTTCCTTTTTCAGATGAACAAGAGGAACTCTGGCCAGGATTTAATCTAAAACTTCCATTATTAACAGAAAATTTATGGGATGGGGAATATGAGAAACAAAAAAGAAATGAAAGTGTCTGGCAAGTACCTCTAAATTATTCAAATTATTCAAGTAATAACTGGTCGCCTGCTGCATCGAGAAATTATATTCATTGTCGACAGACGAATTCAGGCCATGCATGCAATCACTCTGCGGACTCAATTCATTCGTTTAAATTTAATCCGGAAGCACCAGCATTCGATGTCGAAAATTCACTGCATTCACAACCTGGAATGATGAATTCAGCACTACCAGGTAATTGATTTTAAAAATTTCATTTTTTCACCAATGGTTTGGAGCGTGCAACTCTGATATGCTTAATTCATATCAGGTTTTTGGAGATATTTAAAAATTGTACAAACGTGAATATCGTTATTAACTTTTATTATTTTTATTTTGTAATGTTTAGAACATGATTTGTTTTTTCTCAGGATCACCTGCACTGTCTCTTCATTCAACAGAATTGCTTCCTGAAGTAAGATCGGATCGACTACATAGGATGCAACGTCATGATACTTATTTCGATGATCCACTTGGATTATCAGGAAGTCTTTTTGGACGAGGCATGACAAACATCTGGGCAAATGATCCAGATCATGAATTCCAAAATACTGAATGTGAGACGGCTTCTGCTTCAGCTGCCGTCTACTGGGCTGAAAAGCTCTTATCTAAAGAAGATAGAGGGAAAAAGGAGAGATAAACTACTGACAGATATTTAACGTCAGATTGTTGAAAAAGATCGACTGAAAACTACACATGAAATTATTTGCGTTTTATATGAATTATGAAAAGTAAATCTGCAGCATGCATCCACTTGTTTTACAAAGCCTGCAAAATGTCTCAATGCTGGGCTATTTATGGTACTTGTATGTAGTAGTAAACAGGCACAGAACGAAAGTTGCTGGATTAAGTAGATGCTAGAACTGGAAGGAATGCAAATTACTGGTAAATTACAATAAACAATTTTGTTAATTGTTCGAGAGGTTAGTTCATATTGACAGAAAAAGTCGACTGCTTATGGGGAAATCTGATTTTTAATTCATCCAAAGTTTCAAAAATATGTCAACCGGTTTCAAAAAATAATTGTTTTAAAAAATTTACGCTACTTTTTTCAGTAGAACCGCAACAGTAATCAAAGTTACAATTTATAAACTCTATAAATAGTGAGCATGTGTTCCTGCTGTGAGAATATTTAAAGGCTAAAAACTGTTATCAGAAATTCAAATTCTATTCTGTACGTGTGGAACATGAGTGTCTGTAAAAGTCATAAGTGAGAAATTTAGTGCACATGAAGGAATAAATAAATATGAGCATTAAAAATTTCCTGTTTTTGAAGGTTTGGGGCATGCATATTTTTTATGAAAGGAAGGGAGAGATCATTATTTATTGATGCTATTGTCTCTTAAAGGGATATGTTTCTTCCGCTTTGGCTTGGAATTTTTATCTGAATCTGATGGTCGGTGCACTTCTATTGTACATTCCTGAAGAATTATTCAAGTCTCATTTCATGTGCGAATCTCATGATAAAGTTTAGAAATAGTAGAAGCAAATCTCCTAAGACTAAAATCAGTTCTATAAATGAGAATGTTACGGGAAGTAAGATATCTCAAGTTCTAGGTAAAATTTAAAGTATAGTGAATCTTAGATAGGTTGAAATTGTTTCTGATGTTTTTTAATGATCTTGAAATGAGTGTCTGTAATTATTGTGATTAACTAATAAGCAGAAAACTGTATCAAAATCATAACCTAACCAAATCTTTAGATACATGTAGTACTGCAGCAGAATTACCCATGAAGTAATTGGGGGCCGAAAATATTGTTATTAAATGGCTGCCAAATTTTTCATATCCATTTTTCATCACCTAAAATATGACGTACAAATTATTATTGCTTAGCAAAGGAAAGTAAATAGGATTCATGATGAACTACAGAAGTGAGTAATTTGTTTATAACACTACTTTTTTTAAATTCGAAAATTAAAGAAAAATGAGTGAAGTCACATAATTTTTTCACAGTTCAATTATTATGTTTCATGCTAAACATTTTACATAATGCATGAATAATTAATCTTAATTATATTTCTTTCTTTCTAATTTTTTACGTTTTGGAACTATTTTATATAGCTATTTTCACGTAGTAAAAAATTGAAAGCTTCCTGATGTGCTCGGACAATCAAGTCCAAGCCGAGCATTTTGCAAAATTCTTCAACGGCTTCAACTCCAAATATTCTCGCAACTCCTCGTCTTGTATTGTAATCATAATCATCCACATGAAAACTTGGATCTGACCATGTTAAGTCTGTTAATATCCCTAAATCAGGAATCTCACACGGTCGTTCAATCCGTTCCAACTAGAAATGCAACAAATTTTATTTTCCGAAATTCAAAATATGCAGCAAAAGCTTCAAAATTATTGTTGTAAGAGAAATTTATAATGTAATTATAAAAGCAAGAAAACAAAGTAAATTATTAATACTCATAAATATATAGATGCAAAAAACCAAGTCATGTGCACGTTGTATAATTTTGAAGCTTTTATCTTAAAATAATCAAATTTACACTTTTATATTTTTGAAAATTGGATAAGAAGATGTAATTTAATTTTATACTCATAATTTCTAAGTTTGAATAAATCTGAATAAAACTGTAATAAATTTTAAATACCTGCTTGAGTTGTTGTAAATCTTCACTTAACCCCCCATGCATGCATAAAATACGTTTTTCTATACGCGCACAAAATGGCATGCAAAAAAATGCCAACTGGAAAACCTCGAATAATTTCTGCGAGTATCTTAAGTGATGCAAATTTTGAGTAATTAATTAGAATATGATTAATCTGGATAGCGATAATGTGCAGAGGTGAGCAAAGAAACAGCTAATTAATGTAAAGTATGCCATCATCAACGACGACAAGAACATGCGAACGATTTATTTGTATAAAAGTATTGCTGAAGCTAAAAATCATTCAATTTCAAAGAAAAGTTTACTTATTGTAACTATTATCATGTATTAAAAAAAATGTAGTCAAACCTTAAGGTGCATTCGCTGTAAAATCCATATCTGATATTTACATAGCGAGATTCATGATTTCCACGTAATAAATAAATATCACGTGGAAATAGTATCTTCAAATATTTTAAATTAAGCTCTTTATTGTGATAAAAGTATGAAAATTTCTACAAAGCGTCTTTTTACGGATTCGTAAAAAGGGATTAGAGTTATCATTAACACCGACTTTTTTTCCTTAAATTTAAAAGAAGAATATTTAGTTCACAGAATAAATAAGTCTAACTTTATATGCAAAAAGTAATGAGACCACTTCAATCGAGAATGGACCACGATCGACGTAATCACCAAGAAATAAGTACCGCTTATCAGGTGGAAAACCATACAATGTAAAGAGCGCTAAAAGGTCAGAAAATTGGCCATGGATATCACCACAAATAGTTATTGGAGGATGAAGCTGAAAGGAAAGCAAGATATTCAGGAAGTGAACTTCTTAGCATTAATATTATGTGTTTAGCTTATTCAGAATATATTAATTTCTAACATTTTTTTTAATTTGCAGTATATCGGCATTGAATGGCTTTCAGTAATTATTTCAGTGATGAATGCAAATTTGTGATTATGTAAAATTGACTTGAATTACTTTTTTCAGTTTCAAGTAATTAATTTCAGTACATCAAAGTCACATCTAAATATTTAACATCTTCTGCACACTTTTTCCGCTCAAAATAAAACATTATTTTTAAGAAGTAACTTTTATCTTTTCATCAAACGTGCAATAATTTGACATCTGCTGACATCAAACGCAATTCACTATTAAAACCCAAAGTTATCTAAGCATTAATTTAGTGTCTAGCGATCAAAAACAATGATTCCATGAAGTGTTATTATTATCATTATTTATTGTTTATTATAGTTATTATTATTATTTTTTAAAATAATAATAATATTATTGTTTACGATCCCAAGCTATTTCTAGAGGATAATAAGAAAACAATTAATTCATTAACAATATCAGATTATAGTTGCAGAAGATGATTTTCTTGACTGATTACTTCAACGAGCGTTGGTTGCATCCAGAAAACTTCTCTGGCACGATAACATAGTTCAATAAGTTCCTTCTCGGTGAATAACATCTGGCACATTTCAGGTTTCCACTGTTTGGTGAGGCGTGCAACCATCGATACTAACCATTTTTTAATCTTAATTGCTACTATTTTAATAATTACTTTTTAATAATTGCATGCATATTGTCACTCTTTCACTTACTTATGAATGAACCTTAACAATTGTCCTAACTTTACTTAATTAAACAATGATTTAGGAGATATTTAAAATCTGAAATAATTGGCAAGGAATTGATGAAAATAATTAAAACGCACTCTAAGAAAAATGCTGACGTGTCCTGTAATTCAGTTTTTGAATAATTCTAAAACAAGGAAGCTGAATCATACGATAAATACTATAAATGCTCACAACTTTCATGCAATTTCTGTACATTATTCTTCATAAACTGAATTATGACTATATTAAACCTATTTCTATAGCGGAACTTATTTTGTTACTTAGTACTCATCTAAGGCATAAAAGTAGTATTGGCTAGAAGAAAGTTAAAATTTGATTTTACTCATAATTCATCATCTGTTATCTTTTACTTGGCGTTTCAAAATGACGTACTTCTGCCCGGTTCCTTTTAGAAGTTGTTGTAGATGCTTGTTCAGGCTTAGCAACAGCAGTTTTATTAGAATGAGGAGTGTTGTTCAGTGTGGGTAAATTTTTGGTACATGTACTATCAGCAAGTACGAACTGTGACATAGAATTGTCTGACTCATCGTGTCCTGAAGATGCCTGTGATCGTTCTTCTGATATCTTCTTTTCCTTATTCATAATTATCTCTTGCCTTAAGTTATGAATTACTTATCTAATTAATCGATAAAATTGAAAATCTAAACAATGAATCATTAAAAGTTAAAAAATCGAGTTCAAAGTTTAAATAAATATTTTGAAGCGTTCAGTATTTTTGTGCAAAAAAGTAATGAATGAATAAATGCTTCATTGCAGCCTTTTACTTTCTTCAGTTTCTCAGATGAAAATGTAGCAGCTAATACTTGACAAATTTGAACGATGTATTCAAGTTGTATCAATCCTTTAATTATTCACAATTTAATAGTGATTGATTGATTGACTGATTGATTCAAGATACTCTACTCTAATTTGAATTTTCTTTTTACTTAAAATATTTTTTCAAAGGAATTATAAATTTTCAGCATACATAATTGTCTATTGACAGATGAGATTATTACCTTATTAGTATCACAGAGTGATAAATACAATCTAAGTACTGATAAAAGGCCTAATCTCTTCAAAGATGTAATATCGCTTTTGGGATTAGCAACAATTTTAATTAGTAATTCCAAAGATTAAGTAAGGAAGCAGCAGTGCAAAGCAAGAAGTATTACGCGTTTAGCAGCAAACTTTAGTGTGCTTAAGGGGAAATTAAACCAACCGTCAGCACAGACCAACTTCTATATAATATTCAAATTTCGTTATCAATCCTTCCTCCTCCGCTAATTCTGCTGCTTGTTCATTTTTAATATTTGCTTACTGGTAAACTTCCCTTCGCTCTTGCTTCTTTTCCGAGCATTAATGCAGCACTTTACTTTCCCCTAGCTAATTACTTTCCACCGTATATGATCCGATTACAATCCATTAATTGCACTCAATTAAGTACTAATCCTCGTGCCTCCTTCTTTTCACTTTCCTTCCCTTCAGTACTTCTCACTGCTCTTATTTCATTCAACACTTTCATCAGTTTCAAATCAGCTCAGGTCAAGCTCATCCAAATCTCATATTAAGGTCAATCATATGTCATTACTCATGCATCAGATATATTCATAATAGTTATATCTCTGTATCACACTGACTGAAGTGTAATGCTTGAAGGACACAACTATATCCGGATATTTTACGCATAATATCATTTTGTCAAGTCTAATAAATCAGATAATATCAATCCAATTACTGAAAGTCGGATTTCACCATTGAAAGTATAATTGGCGACTTATTACAGGAAGTTAAAGCCTGTGTGCTCGTGTGTTACGTGTGTCAGAAATGAAAACGAGAACAATCAGTGCAAACTGAACATACCCGGCCGTATAAAATATGTGTTTGCTACGGCGTTTTTAACAATTTAATTGAATTATAAAGTTGTTTTACCCTTTCCATCCTACGTATTACTGATTTGTTTTAAATTAAGGTAAGGAGTATATTTTTACCGCTTACTGCAAGTATTACTGTTATGGCGTTTATTGCTCCTTCACACATTATTTGAACCTTTTATTACCTAATCCATCAATTTATTTCCGATTAGCATCTCCAAAGTTTAATAGATGACACTATTTAGTTCATTCTAACCAGTCAAAGCCCAAAAATGAGTTATATATAATCGAATCGCGAAGAAATGCTTCATAGCTTTGCGTTCATTAAAACATATTGTTATTCTGTGTCACTAAAATTAAATCATGCATATAAGGCTTGTTGATTTTAGAAAATTGCTGATATGTACTTTAGGAAATCTCATTTGGCATAAAGTTACTTTGAAAGATTCTGTGAAGCAGAGAAAAAATTTCTTTTGAAAGTATGAAATATGTGAAATTTCATTGTACGAACTAAATATTAGGAATACATGGCTGTAGAAATAAATACAAGATTAATAAGCTTGCATAACTTGTCTTAACAATTGGCTTTTCAGATTACATAAAGTGTAGACTGCCGATTGCACTGTAGTGGTTTACCCGCAGTGTCGGGATATGGAGTTTATATTTAGTGTCATCTATGTGGACCTTATGGATAGCTAATATACTAATATCTTCTGTAAGTTCAAACAAAATCTTAATGAACATGTCTCATTTAGTAATTCAAACAAACCTTATTCACTTTTCTTGTATTTATTGTACGGGGTTATTTTTAAATTTCATTTTTAAAATCATTGTATGATTTTTGTTTCATGTTAAACATTTGGTATTTTTGCATAGCTAGGATGACGACTCTTTTTTATTACCAAAAAAGACCCAAAATTGTAATATTTTTACCAATTTCTTTTTTCTCATTTTCGGCGTGACATTATTTTTTTGTAGATATTTGCTCATGACGATGTATATTGCCGTTCCTTGGATATTCGCAATAGTCCGAAAATGGCGTTTCAGGACAAGGAAACGAATGAAAAGTGGTCAACTTTAACGAGCTGTACAGTGATGGAAGGTGATTTTTCAGTTTCAATGATTACAGGATCAAATTTCACGCATGAAAATTTTCCTGTATTTAGTCGCTTACGCGTTATTACGGGACACCTACTCGTATTTCAAGTCAGGTAGATTGTGCATTTATTGTTCATCTAATATAAATGAATCATATCCATCAACCGACCCAATTTTTATATATTAAATTGTTTAAGATACGATTTAATTTATTTGCAACTGTTGTTGCTTTTTTCAGTGCTCTTCGATCACTAAAACAGATGTTTCCTAATTTGCGTGTTATTGGTGGGCAAGAATTGATTATGAACTATGCATTAGTAATTTATCAAAATACACATTTGGTAGAAATTGGTCTGCCAAAATTGACAACAATTGTCAATGGCGGTGTAAGAATAATGGACAACACTCAGTTATGTTATAGCAGATACATTGATTGGAGTCAAATATTAATTGGGCCTGCTAATGATATTTTAACAGATCAAAATAAAGCAGCTGATTCTGGTGGGAATTGAAGAATTTGGAATTATTAATTTTATTAAGTTTCGTATATTGACGACTCATTTTGGTTTTATGTATGTTTAAAATTCTTAGATTTGTGTAGTGATGATTGTTTGCCGCAAAATGAACATCGATGCCACAAACGTGATCATATGCTGTCATGTTGGGACGCTGAAACTTGTCAGCTCGGTAAATTTTTTTTTACGCTGGTAATGAATTGAATCTAATTTAAATAAAAATTGATGTATATAAAGGTTTTCTTTTTCAGTTTTAAAGTTATATTTAGAAAATAGACCTGTGTATTTTTCTCTTCTTCAACGCTCTGTTGAGCATTAGAGAATATTTCTTAGAGATATACTTTTTTCTTATTTTTTATTGAACGTTCTTAGATTGTAAATATACGTGGAATGATGATAAAACAGTTGGACCCGGTTGTGATGATGAGGGCGAAAAATGCCATGAGCAATGCTTAGGTGGATGCACTGCTCCTGATGATCCGAGTTTGTGCCACTATTGCAGAAATGTTGTGTATAAGGGAATATGTATGGAGAAATGTCCAAATGGCTTATATGAAGTGCATCATATTCATCTTGTGAGGTAACTGTTACTCTTAATTGTCCATAAAATGTGTCTTTTCGTTCTTGTAAACTCCATCAATAAATTACTGTTTGTCATAAAATTTTTGAAATCAAGTTTATGTATTTTTCATTTTGAGATGAAAATCAGTTTGTTTTTGTTTTTTAAGAAGATGCGTAACAGTGGAAGAGTGTCACAATATATCAGCGCCAGTAACATTAGAAAATAGCGGTAAAAGAATGCTAGTTGTAGAGAATATGTGCCGTGTTGATTGCCCTTTTGGACAAGAAATTGGTTTGTTGTATAGTCAGTTTGTAAAATTATGAATGAAAAGAAAATAAATGTTGAAAATGAATTATTTTTATAGATCCGATCACTTCTTCTCACTGTATAAAATGTGAAGGCTACTGTCCAGTGAAATGTAAAGGAGGTACTATTGATTCATTTGCACACATTAATGATTATTTGTTCAAGAAATGTAATGTCATAGAAGGATTTTTGGAAATCGAATTAAGGTTAGTTTGTTAAAATGCACAAAACAATTGGAAATAATCAAATCATAATTTTCTCCCAAGTTTGTATAACCTTTAACACACTTGTTGGTAATAATGTAATCAAAAATAGTTATAAAGATTCTCATTTTTAATTGAAGCTTGTGTTTACTGTCTACTCATTTGACATAGTTAAAATCTAATTACTCTGCAGAAATAGAACGTAGACCTACATTTTGATAGGCTCAAAATATTTCTATTTCAGGAAAGGTCTAGATGCAGCAGCAATGGGAAAAGTGAGTGAAGCACTAAGTACTATTGAAATTATTGAAGGTTATTTATTGATTGACTTCAGTATATCATTTGTATCTTTACATATGTTCAAACGATTGCGGTTAATAAAAGGAAACATTTTATATAGAGATAGGTACGTCATCTTTACTTAATCTGTTCCCATACTTTTTTTTCATAGTGTTTAGGAACATTGGTGCATTTTCCTTGAAATGGATTTTTTGCTTATGCTCCTGGATGCAGTCAAAAAACTTTAATTTATTTGCTTAGTATTCGCGTAGTTGCTTTTGTTTGGGTTACACATAGTATGTTTTTGTATATAGCTTGTTGTCATTGGTTGAGGGCTTAATGAGAGTTCTCTTAAATGTTTTTCGTCATAATCTTTCTTTAGTGTTACATTTTGTCTGCATGACTATATTTTGTTTTAAATTACGTCTAACGTCTACTTTTATAATTGTTTATTTCACTGGTTTTAACTTTAAGATATTCGCTCGCAATATTTGAAAATGCTAATCTGCGACATGTATTTGACATTGAAAAACAACCGTTAACTCTTGAAAACGGTACAGTATTATTCCAGAATAATCGAATGCTATGTTATAGTCGCATAAAATCACTGATTGATCATTTGCGACTTAAAGATGTTAAGGAGAATGACGTGTCGTATTACAGCAACGGTGATCGAGCGATATGTTAGTGTTTTTAAATTATATAAAGTGTTGTTTGATAACACGCAGTTCGTATTTTTCCTTTTTTCATGATCGTTGTTTTTATATCTTGCCTTTATAACTATTAAATTTCCCTAAGATTTTTTGCATTTTAAGTAGAAGTGTCAAATTACCTTTATAAAGCGTTTTTTTTTTTTGCGCTGAATGTAAAGATCTGATTCTGATAAAAATCTTTAGGCGATGAAACAACTTTTGAAGTCCATACTGAAGATGTTCATAGCTTTGGTTTTATGGTATCTTGGGTAGCTTTCAATACCACGGATATGGATCATCGGAAATTTTTGGGATATCAAGTATTTTTCCGAACTTCCAGTTTCTGTTTTTTTTTTTCAATATCATAAAATTTTATGACAATTTTAATTTAATTTTTTGTTTTCATTGCTTATCAGTAATAAAATAAGATAAGTCACAATCTTTGCTTCTTTTATTTTTCATGTTTTGACAGTTTTTTGTACTAATAGAAGGTAAGCAGTACAAAAAATAATTTTGACGTTAAATTATTTTGAGAAAATATTAGAATATTTTTTGTAATATTGAATTTGTTAAGGTATTTTATAAAAAAGTGGACAAGCCAGACCCAACGTTAAGCATTGATGATGATCGCTCGGCATGTAGTGATTCATGGCAAATGCATTTTGAACCAGAGAAAGGAAACGGTAATGGTTTAAATCGAGGAGCAGGTATTTTTGCGGTGGAATCCAACACATGGTACGTTGATTTGGCATCCACTGTTTGTTTTTAAATTTCAGGATATATATTTTTAATATATTTTTCAAAAAGTATTTATTTATCAAAAGCTACTTTCCATTTTTTTTGTTGAAAATAACATGACTGATATTAAGTCATTTTGATATGTGCTGATAAAATTTTTAGTGTCATTTTGTTGTGCATTTTACGAAAAATTTGCAGTTTAGGTATGCATACTATGTGCAAACGAAACTGATCAATCATCCTGGTGCTCGCAATGCCATCTCTAAAATCCATTTTTTGAAAACACTTTTCTCTACTCCGGATCCACCAAAAGATGTTGTTGGCAAATCGCTCATTTCAAAGCCAGATCAAATTGAGTAAGAAGTTGCTCTTAAATCTCTTTGAGTCATAAATATGCAAAATGATATTGCTTAGCTTTTACACAATTATTTATATCAAATACTTTTGAAAATTTTTGTTCCGGTATTATTTGTTTGTACATAGACACACGGAAGATTCGTTTCTGTTAGAATAACATTGTATTAAAAATGACAATCGTCTATAAATATAATGAATTATTTTCTTAGTTTGGCTTGGGAGCCACCCGAACGCCCGAATGGTGATATTACACATTATATAGTAAAATGGCAAGTACTTGATGATGATGCTTCTGCAGTCGCAGGGGGAGTATGTGATGATAAAGGTGGTTGTTACTATTATTTCATATTTTGAAGGTAGTGAACGTAATTCATTTCAAAAGAGCTGTATACAAACAGGAACAATTTCAATAAATGGTTTATGGTGCTACTCTTCTACATATATTTCAGGAGCAAGCTTAAGGCATCATAAAGATATCAGTAACCGATTTATGCTAAGCAAACATTCATTTCCTGCGAAGCAATCATGCTCAAAAACTGGATGCTGTGATTGTCGATTGTCAAAGGTAAATTAATGTTAATTAATTGTTTTTTCGCATTATATATATTGAGAAGTTATTTTTCAGTCAAAACATGAGCAGCTATCAAATGGTTTTTTTTCAAAGAACGATCAGGTCAATAAGGAAGATTTCGAAAGTGACGCGCAGAATTTCATTTTCATGTATGACTTTTGATTTGTTTGAAGTTGCATGCTTTTAAGACAGTTCTGTTGAGTTACAAATTTTTAATTTTTCGAATTTTTTAGTCGAAATATTTTTTAGATTTAAAGTTATAGTTCCTATTTCTTTCACTTCACTGCTAAATATTTTTTGTTCATCTCTGTCGTTGTTAATTTTCGAAACTTTAATCATATTGAAGTCTTGTCACATTTTCCGCCCAGAACAAAGAACATGCATACAACGACACATTAAGTTTTTGGCAAGCTTTTTGGCTATAATGAAAGTATTATATCTAAGGTAGCAAAATTATCGATAACTTTAAAATATGAGGAGTAGCTTAAAAATGTTGATTCATAGCAAAGATTGAGTGTGGAGTTTACATTTCAAATTTCAGAAATTCACAAAAAAGTTCTGATAAGCAGCCTAAATTTCGCCGAAGTTATCGGTCTCTTATGAAAAATTACAATGAATCAAATGAAATATATGTTGATCAAAAATTCGTGAATATCACACAAAATGAAATGAACGAAACTACTACTTTCTATCGAGCTCAGGTGGATATTGGAACACACATAATCAATGTCACTACTCTTCGTTTATCAATCACTGGCTTGCGGCATTTCACACAGTACCAGATATGGGTCCGTTGATTTCTTTATCATAAATTCAGCCGTGACAAAACTCATGCATTTTATGTTGTAGCGAAAGTTGTCTAATATTCAGATTGCATGATACAGTATTTTGGCTAGATCTATTTAAACATGGTTTTTAGTGGCAAATAGCAGAGCATGTGTTATTTCGTAGGAAATGAGGCTAAAAGTGATTCGTTACATGTATGGCTGATCTTTTATTTCACTTTTCGATATCGCAGATAATTTTTATTAAGATGTTGAATGAAATTTTCATTTAGTCACTAAATATAGTTTGAATACCACTGGTTGTTATCAGTAATTTCCTAATTAATTAAATTATAGGTACATGCATGTCAAAATATATCGGCGCCAGGAGGTGCGTATTGCTCGCAGCGACCAGGCTGGATGGTTGTACGTACGGCACCAGTTCGTAAGTCTCGCCGATATTATTTTAAATATTTATGTTTTTTTAAAGTTTGAATTTAACATGTGGGATTATTCCCATCATTATTTTAACATTTACTATTGTTCTCGAAAATTATAAAACTGACCGTACTAAAATTCGATTTTTATTCAAAAATTTTTCAAAATCTAAGGAATGAATATTTTTCATAGTTTTGGAATAGATCGATGGTTACTGCATAATTTTCAGCAGTAAATGATTTGATTGATAATCGTACAATCAAAGTGATTAATTCAACATTATCTGAAAGAAATCCTTATAGTCGTAAAATAACATGGCGAGAACCATTACGTCCTAATGGAATTATTCTTGGATACAGAATAACCGTTGTAGCTGAAAATCTAGCTCAGGTTCAGACGAAGCTTTCTATTCCAATAAATTTTTATCGCTCTTCATATATGGAGTCTAATAATAGATTATATGTTCTTTGTACGCTAATATCTTCATTGATCTATTATGTCTTATCAAATAATGATCATCATCTCATTTTGATGTGACGAAAATTGTCTCAAAAATAATCATATTGTTTATTTTATCATAAAAATCAGCTGCATAATTTGAGACGCCCATTAGTCAATGTGTGAAAGCAAGTAACTTTCGGGAACAAGAAGGTGTAGTGTTTAGTGGTCTAGCGGAAGGCGAATATCTAGTACAAGTGGAAACAATATCTATGGCATCGCTTTCATTTCATGGTATTAAAGAAGTAGCGACAGCACATAAATTGTTCAGAATTGTAAAACCGACTTTTTTTACACCAATGGTATGTTATGTACTTCATAATGTTTGAACATTTACAAGATAGATCGGTGGCACTAAAATAAAGTAGAAGCATTAATTAAGAATATAATTAAAATTGAGAAGAAAAGATATTGAGGAATCAGTAATAACCGAAATTGATTGAGGGAAGACTTGCATTATTTCACTATATTTCCATAAAAAACTTATGCAATTTCATAAAATTTTTCGTTCCTTGTATTACTTTCAAGAAATTTTAAATTTTTTCCAGGTGATTGCATTAATGGTTATAATTTCTATTCTTGTTGTGGTAATTGGTATTTTAATTGTTATATACTTGTCAAGGATGATAGTTGGAGAAAAAGTACGCTCTAAACTTCAAATGTTTTATATGTATATTTCAATAAGTGTATATTTTTACTTTACTAGTTTTTTTCTCTACGCGATGGATATGAGTCGTCTGCAATTCAGTGAAATGAATCTTCTGTAATAGGTTGAAAAAATACTTTATTTGGTTGATAGAGAGTTTTATTTTTTCAGGTTCGCGAATATGTCCGACAACAAATTTCAGCAAATCCTGAATACTTGAGTCAAATGGATGTTTATAAGCCTGATGAGTGGGAATTAAAAAGGAGTGAAATAGAATTAGAAGAAGAGATCGGAAGAGGAACATTTGGAAAGGTGTATTTGCTATAGATTTGAGAGTTTTCATTTGCTTCTATCTTTTTTCAATTATATTCAGAGAAAATTTAGGAATTTTTATCTTGCAATTATGTGTAGGTATATCGCGGATGTGGCAAAAACTGTAGGTCATATTTGGGTATTACCTTTGGGGAATGTGCTATCAAGACAGTATCGGAGACAGCAAATAGCGCTGAACGTTTCCATTTCCTTATCGAAGCAGGCGTTATGAAGCAGTTTAATACTTCTTTTATTGTTAAGCTTTACGGTGTCGTTTCAGATGGTCAGCCTGTTCTTGTCGTGATGGAACTCATGAAAAAAGTAATTTGGTTTTGCTAAATAAAATCAAGCAAAAAAGTCATTTTATTTTTAGGTTTTTTCACAGTATTTTGCTTTTTTATCGATGTCTAATGCCGAATACTATTTAATCGTAAAAATTTTGGGGCAATCTGCGCGATTATTTACGATCTCGACGACCAGGTGCTGAAGAAAACATTGACAATTTGCCAGTGCCTGGCACAGCCGACATTCTTCGTTGGGCAACTCAAATTGCAGATGGAATGGCTTACTTGGAATCTTTGAAATTTATTCATCGTGATTTAGCTGCCAGGAACTGCATGGTATTGAAAATTAAAAATAGTTCACTAAAATTTATACGAAATATATCCTAATCTTTTTAACAGCTGATTATTTTTCTAGGTGGATGAATTTGATACGGTTAAAATAGGCGATTTCGGTATGGCTAGAGATGTATATTATCACGAATATTATAGACCAGCAGGTTTGCTTTCAATACTGCAGTATATTTATTTTGTATTTGAAACTTATTCTCGATGCATCTCTTTTAATCATTCATTTTCATCGATATGCGAGTATTTATTGTTCATAGAATCAAAGAGATTGCACGTGCAGAGCGTTTATTCTTTTATGTTTTCAATGCATTCAACAGTTTAAGGTGCTCTTATTTTTCAGGTAAGCGACTGATGCCAGTGCGATGGATGGCACCGGAGTCATTGATGGATGGTAAATTCACTATGAAATCTGATGTTTGGTGAGGTTTTTCGTACTTGATGGAGAAATTATATCAGCAGTTTTATGTGAATGCATTCTTTTGCTTTGTAATTTTAATCGTTTTTAATTTACTAAATTTGTTCTGTGAAAATATGGCAAATCTCTTAATAGTAATGGTGTTAAGAATATGATGTAAAAAGTTTGTAACAGAGCTTCAATTTTTTTCAATCACGGAAGAAACATTTTATTTTTGTTTTAAATCGCTTTAAAATTACAGAATTAGATAAAATTAAAGGTTTAAGTTTTCGAATTAAACCATTCAAATTATGTTATCAGTGACCTCTTTATATTCCACGCATATAAGAAAAACTGAAATGAAGAATTTTTCTGTCACATTTTTAATTTTTTGTTTAGGGCTTATGGAATTACACTTTATGAAATGCTTACGCTGGCTCAGCAGCCATATTTGGGGATAGGTAACGAGAGTGTTTTTGATTATATTGGTGTGAAAAAAAAAATATTAGCTCGACCCACTGGTTGTCCCGATTTTTGGTAAGGTGTTAAAAATTTCGTTTTTTTTTAACAATATACCAATTATTTCGTGCATGACTGCTTTAGAATCACATAGTTTTGCTAAATAAAAATAATAATTAGTTTGAGCAGTTGGCATTTTTCAGGTACGAGCTTATGGTGAGGTGTTGGAAATATGATGCTCGTGATCGCCCTACTTTCGTCGAAATAGTTGCAATTTTGTTGCGTTACGCTGAGGAGATTACATCCAATTTTCCTGATGATGAGTTCCGTCAGGTCTTTTTTTATATTTTTGTATCATACGAACATAAGTGCTTTTTGTTGCCTTTGATTATTTTGTAGTTTCTTTTTTAAAGGAATCAATTTGATCATAATTGCAAAAATCAAAACATTGTATCAAATCTTTAGTTATAATTACATTCACTGTCCTTTTTATAGAAAATTAGATGCACCTTTAAAGTCATTTTCAGCTTTCATTCGTAGTATCCAGCCAAACTAATATGAGTTGTGATAATGCAGAAGATGAAGCGTTGCACACAAGCGATACTGTTAGACTCGTTCGAAGTGTTAGTGTAGGAGATGTTGACCATGATGAGGTAATATTTGCTGCCCATCATATTTATATAATTCACTCTAGGGTACCAGGTATAATTTTTACAAAAATAACACTTGTTTTAAACTTAGTTCAGATCGGAATAAACCAAAAAATAGATATATGATTTTCTTATTCTTACGTCTTAGTACTAAAAGATACTGCAAATTCCTCAACAAAAAAAAGTAATCCGCCTTAAATTACTTAAATATATGTTTTAGCCGTACTATTAAATACCCTATAATGTTTTGACTCAGAAACGTAGACAGATTTCTTACGAGGAAAACTAGGTTCATTAAGATTTTTTTGAAATAATTGTACTTTCGTTTATAATTAGAAGATAAAGACTGATTTTTGGTGTAAAACTGATAAGGTAAATTTAATTGTAATATGCAGAAAAACAAGAGTTCGAAATGAATTGATTGCAAAGTTAAAATATACCAACAGCAATTATAATTCTTTATCATGCCAGTTTTTGATTTCCTTGTGATCCTGCTCGACACATCGAATCACTATTTCCTGTAATATAAGCTGCCGCATCGGATCGCTGGCAGTGGACATAAAATCCTTTAGAAGGGAATTATTCATTTTTATAGTAGGTTCGATTATCTGGAGTGGCATTTAGCTCCTCCAAATGTAATTATATTTACTGCCAGCATTTCAAAAAATTATTTTCTAGCCATCATTGCATTCCTGCTTCATTTTTATGAATGTACATTTGGAATTTAGACCTTACTTATCAGTCGAGCAAAACCACTATTAAGTAATTATAGCAGCAGTGAGAATGTTCACTATTTATCGAGCATAAATAGCGAAAGTAAGGATGGAACAAAGGTAGGATGTGATCTGCTTTATCTTTTTCCAGTTTTTGTTGAATCATTTTTCAATCTAAGGTGAATAATTTTTGAAATTGCTTATGGATGTTAGGAGAACTATGCTGTTTATGTTCGATGTTACAAATTTTTTGTAATGATTTCTCTGAATATGTTTGCATAACTTACGAAAAAAGTATCATTACCTGTTACACAAAAGTATCTGCCGATTGAAGCTTATAAAAAAATTGATTTATCTCACTTATTTTCAGCCAAGTTGTTCCTTCAGTCGGCGAAGAAAAGGTCCGTCATGGTTGTGGGATGGGGATGATTCTGATGATTTTTTGAGTCGTGGGCATAAATCAGACAATAACATTAATTTAATGAGGTTTGATAAAAACGATGATGTGTCTTAATATTATTTGTTCTCCAACATATATTTGACACGAATCTCTCTAATCTTGGAAATGCATCATCGATTCGATAGAAAAAACTATTTACACTTATTTGTTGAAGTCCTGTGTATACATATATTGTTTAAATGAATTAGTTAAAGAAAAATTAACGAGAAAATATTAGCGCGAAAAAATGAAAACATTAAAACAGCACAGTGCGGTAGAATTTCGAACCAGGGGTTAGAATATTTCGTGAACCTTCGAATTTCAAGCAAATTTTTCATCTGCCTTCACAAATTAACATTTAATAAGATGAGATTACCACTTTTGTAAGATGTAGGCGTAGATTTGATGTCACTTCTGTGTATAATTAAGATACCTTTGTGAATTTTGATCAGCATTCTTCTTAGTTGTGAGATATTTATTGCTCAAACTTTTGATTGTTCAATCGTTTTTTCTTTCCGTCTTTGAAAGAAATGATAATGTTTCCATTATTCTGATGTATTTTTAGTTTATGTGACTTCGCAGATTTTCCAATGCATTCATAGTTTGTTATATTTGAGGTAAAACTGCGTCCATAAGCTTACAACGTCATTTGAGAACCGCTTTTTCTCTCACCATTTCTACATTTTTTGCAAATTTAAGATACTAATGACAAATGTATTATTAAAACGCGGTTGTTACCAATATCTGGATGTCACATAGTTTCCAATTTTATGTTGGTTCTGTTAAAACAATGACTTCATGTTTGTAGAATAAGGATGTAATGCAAATGCAGTAATATTGGCATTTTGCATTTTCTATCACCGGAGCATAGTACAGATATACATGCTATGAAAAAGAGTGCTTTGGAAAACTTCATACTGGCCTACTCAGATATTCTTTCCAATCCTTTTCTGATCATAGGATAAAATAAACAGGCAGGTCAAACTTTTATAGAGTTTTATGTGCAGTCTTTGGGACTCATTCCATTGACAGAGTTATAGCAATTTCGATCTCATGTTTATTTTGTTGCATAACTCAAGTAAAGAGTTTGCGTGAAAATACCATCTTCTGATGAATGTCTTTATATGATTTGCAATTCATCACCTGTTTGGAGAAGGAACATTTTGCTGCATGATAAAATTCCTGAATATTCCAATATGAATTCTGTTGGTCCTGGTGCACTGTAAACAGTATATCTTACAAACGGGCTTCTTTTATTGGACTTCTTCAAAGATGTTCCTTCTCCAAACAGGTGATGAATTGCAAATCATATAAAGACGTTCATCAGAAGATGGTATTTTCACGCAAACTCTTTACTTGAGTTATGCAACAAAATAAACATGAGAATTTAAAGACATGCTGTGAGGTCCAGTTCTCAACATTTTTACCAACATTTCATCCCATCTATAAATTGTGCTGTGGCATGCAAATGCCTATGCTACAATGTGACCGTTAAATTGTGAAGCGCCAAAAATAGATAGTAGTAACTCGTTCGTTACACATGTACCATTTACATTTTCTTACAGTTTTATAGTTACCATAGTTTCGTACATATATGTAGATGTGTTTTTGGTTTGAATTTTATCATCATTTGTGTACAGCTTTGTTATCTTGTTTGTCTAATTAACCAAACCAGATCAGAACACATTGAAGTTGCCTTTTTATTATGTTAATAATCTTTATGCGTGTGTTCAAGAATTTTTCATCAGTTTATTTTCTTATTTTATAAAACGATATTTACATATTATAGCTGTATTACACGATACGATTTATTCAGAATGGGTGAACTTCCACCAGCAACTTCATTGAATGATTTGTTATCTCAGTTAATGAACATATCGGAACAGTCCTTAGATGATCATACGCAACAAAGGTATAACTTATTTTTACAGTTTTTATACATCTGTTTCAAGAATGATGGTGAATGTATATTTTAGAATTTATGATTATTTTATGTATATATACAGTTATTATAGTGTTGTACATGTATATATATTCATTTTATACATGTAATTCGCCACTGTTTTGAATGCATAGAACAGTGTTTAGTCCAAGACAGTAGAGGGATTTCTATGGAAAGAAAATATCAGTGAAACTTATTTCTCATTATATTATGTGAGCACAAGTAAAGATAATGATTATACTGAAACCTTCTGAATTTCCAGAAAGCAGCAGCTACAAAATCACCGCATGAAGAATGCATTATTTGAAGTTCTTTGTGAAATTAAAGAAAAGACAGGTTTAAGTTTTGAATAATTCTTTTACAGCAATCATTCTATAATAAAACATCTGTTTTATTTTTGTTAACTCAAAAATAGAGTAATAATATTTGGTATTTGTTAGGTTGGAGTATTATAAAGTAGTCATTCACTTGTATTTTTAGCCCTTTCTATTCGAGGAGGCCAGGAAGAAGCTCCAGAAGATCCCCAGCTAATGCGGCTGGATAACATGCTGGTTAGTATTTCACATACAAAGTGAAGTAGTTCTTGTAAATCATTAGCGCTACTGTCATTATTTCATTTTTTGTTTAATCACTGTTCATGTAATCATTGAGGTTGCTGAGGGTGTAGCTGGTCCAGATAATCGTGGGCCAGTACAGAGTGACGCTGCTGGTGGTGATCAAGCTGATTATCGACAAAAGCTCACTCAAATTAGACTAGTATATAGTGAAGAGCTGCGGAAGTATGAAGAGGTCAGCTGTCTTTCATGCGACTATCAAGTCATAATTATTGTTGTTGAACTTTTACCCTTAATTCAAGTTTTTAGTAAGTCGTACCAAGTATGAAATAATGTTGTTATTTTTAGGCTTGCCAAGAATTCACCCAACATGTTGTATCTTTATTACGTGAGCAAAGCCGTACTCGACCTATTGCAAATAAAGAAATTGAACGTATGGTTGCTATTATACAGAAAAAATTTTCTGGCATACAGGTAGTAATATGAATCGCGAAGTGGAAATAGAGATTATGCTATAGGAAACATTCTCTTACTGTCATCAGTTTTGCGTCAGGATTGTAGAACTTTGTAATTTATAGGTACAGTTAAAGCAGTCCACTTGCGAAGCAGTGATGATTCTTCGTTCACGATTTCTTGATGCTAGGTAATTCATATCATTATTTCATTAGTATTACACATAATATTTATTATCTTCTGAGTATTTAAATAGTCCTTCTAAATCAGAATTTTTGTATATCGAATTTGCAATAATTTTTCTAAATTATTTATCTTGTTTTTTATTAGTTAATCACTTTTTTTATTGTAGACTTTTATGAAAAATGTTGTAAGAAAGTTCAGAGTTTTTATTTTATCAGTGGTGATTGTAGGAGAAAACGAAGGAACTTTAGCAAGCAAGCTACAGAAGTTTTGAATGAATATTTCTACTCTCACCTGAGTAATCCTTATCCATCAGAGGAAGCGAAAGAAGAATTAGCTCGGCAATGCCAAATTACAGTTTCACAGGTGATTTTTTTAAAGTTTTTTCACTTTCATACTTTGTTACTTGTGTGAATGGATTTTTTTGTGCGCGAAATTTTCTAAAAAATTATCGTGTCATGTGTTATACTGATGCTGTTTGAACTGGTTGCAAACTGACTTAAAATTTGTTTTTTCTGGTTCAATTTTTTAATCCAGGTCTCGAATTGGTTTGGTAATAAAAGAATAAGATATAAGAAAAATATAGCGAAAGCTCAAGAAGAAGCTAATATGTATGCTGCTAAGAAAGCAGCCCACGGCAAGTTTCCTATTTTCATTATATGTTTTATATTATGTATAAAAATGAATAAAGGCTTTCGTCCTGACTTTTTACATTCAATTTAATTTTTTTGTATTGCTTATTGGAGTATTTTTTGAAAAGTTTCTGATTATTTTAATGTAGTAGCCATGAATTTATTGGTATATCTTGTAAATAAAGAATCAATCAGAATTTATTTCAAAATCAGTATGAGTCAAAATCAAATTTTATAAAGAATTGTAAAATAAATAAATTGACTTTCAAAAATTTTGTAGCCGCCAATCAGTATGGTATGCTGGCATCGGGCACATCAGCTGCTGGAACTATGCTGAATTATCCAGCAATGCTTCCAGGTCAAGATTTGGCCCATCACATGACTGCTGGGCTTGATTTCACTGCCGGATACAATCCTCAATTAGTAAGAGTGTTATTATTTGACGGTTTGAATGGGTTTATTTTGTAAAATTATAAGTTGGCGCTTCCTACAATTTTGTGCTTGATCAGTTGCTTAAACATAGAATTGTTTTATAAGATCGAAAAATACTAAATATTATTTATCATGTGGTTTAGTCGGAGATTTAAAGTCCATACTAATCATGCTTCTTATATGAGAAAAATTATTAGTAGCTTAACCTCTGCTGAGATATCTCTTCACTCTCACTAGAAATTTCGCTCTGTATTTGTTGACACTTTTAAAAATAATGGGGCAAGTTACCAAATTCATCATCGCACTTGTTAACCTACTGAATAGAAGTACTGTTATAGACGACTGCTGTAGAAAATGTATATAATCAGCAATCATTTTTGAGAACTTTCCAAGTAGCACATTCCATCAGTGATAGTTGGGTAAGTTAGTTTCCTTGAGGATCAGTTTCAATTATATTACGTCGATTTTTTCCCTAAGCACTCGACTCTACTGATTTTTCACAACTAAACGTGGTCGCAGTTATTTATTCTGCTCTTAGTTTATATAACTTTTCTCATTAACACTTAGAATTTTTGGGTCGCAAACAAAGTTTTCATTTGAGCTTGATTTGAGCTTTTCTTATTTAATTTTTTAAATATAAACTTCGTTGTATAAATTATCAGTCATTTCCAGATGTCTACAGCTTACGGAATTCCACCTCCAGCCAATCCATCACCGCAGTCCTAACGTAAAGCTTACTAACTTTTTGTCAGTGTGAAGTCATAACCCGTGTTTTTTTTTGTTTGAGTCAAGTTAATAACAGTAACTATATTTGTTTTAACTTGTACTAATAAGCGTTTTGCAATTCATGAATGTTACGCTTAAGGGTTAATCAAGTGCTTAATATGTTCTGAAGATTATTGTTCCATTTTTAATCAGATGGTGTTTATATTGTCGTATATCTGCAGTAACCAACAGTTTTATAAGTTTGGATTCACTAAGTATATTATCTTGAAAGCTTTGGATTTCTAGTCTAACATATTTTTCCTATTCAAATTATATTAAACTGGTCGATTTAGGGGGAATGAAGCAACTTATTATTATTCAAAATAAAAGAATGTTGCAACTAAGTCAGCTGTTGAATTCAACATCAGTAGTTAAGCAGTTGTGGAATGTCGAAATTTTGTATCTATGCTGTGTTTGTGGGTCATTTTGATAGCTAGAGTAGGTCATGTGACTGGAGTTTTGCTATCCGTCTCAAATCAAAGCGGACTAAAAGCGATATAAGGATTTGATTGATATAAATTTTTGAGCATAAATCATGGAAATTAAAATTTTTGGAATTATAAAATTGATGCTTAATAAAAAATTTTTCAGGCACTAGTGAGCGAGCCACCTATGAAAAAATCCAAGAACAAGTAGTGCTTCATTGATTTCCTCATATTGAACAAAGTTATTTTCTTAATATTCTGATCTATTTCTTTCTGTCTTTATTTATTCTTGTGCTTGATAGAACTAAAGGATTTCAAAAATAGAAAAGGAGTAAAGTGTGCTCCGGTTTGATCTGAATAGTTTAATTTGTAAATTTTTTGTTATTTGTATGAGAACTGCCATCATTCTGTGTTCCTTTCAATAGGACTGAGATTCTTCTATAGTTACTCAATTTCGTTTTTTGTCATTTTAAGTAATTCCCAAGGGATATCTTCGTTGAAGTTGAAGTAATGGGTCTTTCACTGGTTCTAATATTGTTTGAAAATCATTCCGATGAGATCTTTTGCATAATACTTGTTTTGGAGCTGTGTCTTATCACTGCTGTACAATCTGTTTCAATTTTTTCTTAGAAATACAAAATAATTCCTGCTATTTCGGTAGTGCTGTTTGTATTTTGTTTACAATTTCATAAATTGCAGAAACCATTGGGATTTCCTCATTCCATCGTTATTAGCAGAAACTTGGTTTCATGTGTCAATCAGGTCTTTGTCATTGTAATAACTCACTGCTAGGAAAATTTATAGTGGTTGGCTTTGTTTTATACCACATTTTAACGGCTACTTTATTTAGTTTGATGTTTTTACGTGAAGTCAAATTTGGATCAAGGTTTCTGTTTGATAATGAGAAGACCTGTTTGAACTATTTGAGGGTTTTCGCATTTGCAGTGACCTCTGGTTGTGAGATTTCTAACTCTGTGGAGCTTGATATTTCTTCTAGTTTAGATGCATTCAAGATTAGACCTGATTGAGTTCAAGATTATATTTTTTAGTGAAGTGCCAAAAATTATACTGTCACAATTATCAGTGTTAGTTTGTGACTAGCGGTGGTGATTTTCTTACAATTGAACTTTGCGATTTGCAATTTCTCAGTGTTGTTCATTTGATTTGTTTGTAAGAAATATTAACATATGTAGTAAAGAAATAGCTAATTGCATTGGCCAGTCTCTCAAACTGACACAATTATATCAAGGTTTGACTTGAAATATTAAAATTTTAATATTACCGAATTGGCTAGTTTTCAAGTTTTATCCTTCCTTTACAATTCAGTCAAATTAATGTAAGTGGGAAAAAATTGCTATGGCATGTCTGGGTGCTATCTTCAAGTAATATTCCCCTTGTAACTTAGTGGATTGTATTATTTAATGTCTAGTAAGCACCACTTAAACATTCGTAAATTCAATGATGATTAGAAAAACATATCTAATTCTAAGTAATAATACTTGTTGTTTGAGAAATTTTGAATAATCAAAGGGCAGCAATCAAGTTGTACGTTGACTTCTGCTTATATATGTAACGGGATTGAATACTTGGTGAGGATGTTAGTGTGATAATGAAGCGAAAAATTCAGATTATCTCAAAAATAGCAACACAGAAGTATGGAAGCTTTAAGCTATTTATTAGGATTTCAAAAAATTTTTTATATTGAAATTATTAAGGTAGCATGGGTTTAGCCTCAAATAGGAAGGATTACACAGTTCGGATTTGAGCTTGTTAATGTACGCAAATTTTAAATCCCTTTCCTTCGCTGTTCCGGCATCTTAACCATATATTAAGCTATCAGACTTTCCCAAGTAAATATTGTGATTAAAATTTTTAAACAAATCAAAGTTGTTGAAGGTCACTTCGAGTCACATCAAAAGATAAGAAGTAATCGAATAAAAATGTGCGATAATTTGAGCATTGCTTCATATTTCAGCACTTTGATAATATTGCTTTTAAACTTTTCTTTCAGCAACTGTCATATTTTTTTAATGTCATATGTTCGATGTATTATAGAAAGAAAAAATAAAGATAAATTTGTGCATACAAACTCAATTAGGTCTTCAGAATCTATTCAGTTCAAGCAGCAAATGTATTCGCATTTCGATCTAGAGCACACTTCAATTGAAAGGGAGCTATCGTATCTTGATTTAGAAGTAATTATATTTAAATTTAATCAAACAATATTTAAACGGTCAAGAAGTTGATTCAATCTCAATTGCGATCAAGAATATGATCTATGAAATCAATCAAAAATGTTTTGTTCTTGTCTCTTTTTGCATCGTTTAAGTTTACAATTTCGATATCAATTCAGCTTATTTGGATATTAGTAAACTTAGCATTTTGGAAGTGTAAAGCCTTTAATTTATCTAATCTGATGATTTAAGAATATAATTTTTAATATTTCATTATTATAAAACACTTTCATTCTAGTTATTGGAGTAGTCACATCCAAACTAGTCAATTTTTTGTATCACTGAGACTATTTGATAAAACAACATGAAGTGCGAAAATAATACAGCGTGTCTTGGTTACTGAAAATGAGCTTCTAATGCAGAATTGAAAAATATTTGGGATATGGAAGTCTCAAATTTAAGGCAATGTTAGTGTGATTTAATGCTGTGATTTTATGATGAATAATTATTACATGTTGCTTATTTTATTAAAATAGCTAGTATTTTGCTAACGATTTATAACAAAATTGTTAGATTGTTCAAAATTAGGCAGGTTTTGTAGATTCAAATTGATATAATTGTAGTCAGTATAGAATATTCTTGAATGATAGTTGATCTATAATTTTTTTTTTGGTTCAAGAAATCAGATATGTTGATCTGTAGCATTAAGAGCAATAATGTGTTCTATTATGCATTATTTTACTATTAAATATTGCATTGTAATGGTTTAGTGAAAAGAAAGTTATATTCATAAAATTTATCTATGATAGTTTTATTAGAAAGAAAAATGTATGTCATATTTTTTATCATTTACGTCATTTTGTTAAATATATACGCGTAATTTTGATAGCATTAAATCTATACGAACGCAAATACGCAATTACGCTTTAATTTCTGATAACAAAATAAGATCTTACTTTATTTTTAGATCTCAGCTTCTGTTGATTTTATAAAAATTTTTTGAAGGACTTAGTTTACTACAAAAGATCTTAAAACTAAACTGATAATACTTGCTGATGGAAGAGTCGGGTTCGAAATATTGTTCACCTGTTACGTGGTTACCAAAGCTTCTACGTGAAAGAGAATTGTACAGTATGCATACAAAAAAATTTACGCGATTATTTACTGAAGGAACATTACGTAGCATAGAACCAGAAGCCAGTTTTATTCAAAGAGTTACGTTATTATATTTGTGAAAAATATTTCTTTAGTAATGGACTGTAGACTGTGAGATACCAAATTCATCAAAGTATTATTTCTAAGATATATTCATACTCAGTATATGATTTGTATAATAATTTGCGTAAAATTAATTTGGTAATTTGCTATCTAAACAAGTATGGAAGGACTGATAGATCAGTTTATATTATTACTATGAGCACTATTCTATATTTATTAGTCATTTATTTTTCATACATGGCAAACCTTAATTCAAAGCTAATTAAATTATAATGAGTAGAAACTTCGTTAACGATTTTTTACAAAATTATACGATTATTCAGAATAAAACAGGTCTTGTTGATTCAAACTGATCAATAATTGACGACAAAAGATATCGAGATTAAAATTCTTGAACGATAGATGATTGATCTAAACTTTTTGGTTCACTAAATCAAATATGTTGATTTGAGGGTGCTAAATTAAATATCCTGCATAGTAATTTATTATTTAGGGACATCGTCATTTATTGGGTGCTTGCCATGACATAAATGTTAGTTATGATGGCAAACTTTTCTATGGTTATTGGACTATGAAGAATGCTTTACCAGTAGAAGTGCGGCATAATCAGTGTTTTCGATTTATTTGGTATTTTGTTGAAGCAGAGGAAAGGGATAGAAAGTGACTTTTTACCTTCTAATAATCTACAAATATTATCAGTATGATTTTATATTATGTATTAATTGAGAATGATTCATCGAATAAGAATCTCCAATGCATTACTTATGGTACAATACTGTATGTTGTGGTAACAAATAAAACATTGAAATGCAAATATGAATTGAAGAAAGTTAAGTTTTAGGTTCCTTATTCAATTACTGAGTTAAAATGTGATTGCTGCTATCAACTGAAGTTGATTTTCACTTGAATTCATTATAATTATACTACAATATAATTGTCTTAGCTTACTACATTAGAATGCGATTACTAGTAAGCTTTCTGATGCAATCTCTTCTTTTTAATGACTGTAATTTGTTGCGCATATTTTGATATTTTTATAGGATGATGGAGTCTGGTATGCGCTTCAAACTGAAATTTGTCAGTAATGACTGTTCACGGTGTTTGCATCTGAATTTAAGAAGCGTATGCACTGAATATCTGCTTGGCTTGCCATGTGGAATTCATTTAGGCATTGATAGACCTTTCGATGAATTCGAAAGTTATTCAGAAAATAGTCGAATCACTATTGAACCAATAATGGCAGCTGGTACTTTAAATGTAAATTATTTTTTTAATTTAATGAAACCAAAAATATAACAGTAAGGCATATTAGTTTTTTTCAGCATACAGTATTAGAAAATAGTACTGTGATTAATAAAAACAGTTATGTATTGCAAATATTTTTGTAGCAGCGATCATCATATAATATGCCATCATCAGTGCTTGTTGAAGGAATTTCAAATATGTTTGCTTATAACAAAAGTCGAGTTAACATTGGATTAGGTTAGTTGTAATTAATTATGTAAGTTTCTTCTTAGTTTTTGAGGGAATTTAGTCTTCATTAGAAAGTCTGACCTTTTAATCCTTTACGAGTATCTTTTTTACAAATAAATCTTGGAGTAAAGTAAACTTGACGAGCATTATTATATCATTTTGATTTAATTTGTTATCAGAGGATATTTTAGAAATGGGCAGAAAGCTTTCGGTTATCGATCTCGCAACAAAACAACCTCAAGTGAACAAAACTTTTAAACAGTCTATCACAAGCCTTGGCTTCAGCTCGGTTTGTTTTTATGTTTTCCAGTGTTATGGTTTTTTAATTTCAGTAGGCTTTTATAAATTTTTGTGCAGTTAGTAAGCAGTGGTAAATCCAATTTGCTTATCTTAATAAATTGTGCAAGTTTAGAATGCATTATGTTTTTCGACTGTTTAATTCAGTCAGTGATTTGAATGGTTCAAAAAGATATAAGTGTAGAATTCAAACTTATGCTTAAATTTAAATTTATATATGCCATAAAGAACATTTATTATATCTTAGATTCATACTCATTTTGATAAATTTTTAAATTTTAGTGCGGAAATTTAATATATGTAGGTTTAAATGGTCAGAATGTTATTTCTATGGATTTTCGAGATCGCGAACAAACAGTTCTTACCTCATTTGATGATGCTAGAAGTATAACTTCAATAAAAGCATTGAGCTTTAGACCTTATTCATTTATTACTGAAGATACTTGTGGAGAAGTGAGTTTTGAGATGTAACCTCTGTTCCAACTAGTGCTTTCTGATTTAAGTTCAAAAATAAGTAGCAAATACTCCACATTCACTTATACATTTTTTATTTTTTACTGTTCTAAGCCATAACTTTTAAGTTATGCTTTCTCTGAAACAGCTTTCAGATGAGATTTTGGGATATTCGTAACAGTAAATGTCTGTTCAAATCAGACATGTATATTCCTTTTGCTAAGTCGGCAACATATATTGATAGAAGTGAACGATTTGTTATGTCTTGTTAGTTTTTGTATCAAGTTTAGTTTCTTGTATAAAACACTTTGAACCACTTTAATTTATCCATATTGTATTCAGCAGATAAGCCTAAATAAATTTAAATTCAGCGATATTTTTCACATTGTTTTTAAATGTTGTAAATATCATTATTATATATATATATATATATATATTTGAATCGTTGAATTGGGAAGCAGAATTGTTGCAGATTAGTTTACTATGAATTATCGTAGCTCTTTATCGTTAAAAGCTGATCACAATCAAACATCTTACGTTGCTGACTGATAAGATAATCCAATTACAGGTTGTTTAGACGGAAAAACAAGAGCCTGGTCCCTTCTAAATGGTGAAAAACTTTGTGAATTTTCAAGTCATCAATCGAGGAGTGTGTGTTCAAGACCTCAAATAGTATATAGCCCCAATTGGGGTGGTGTACCTGGTAATGCTGCTGTCTTAGTTGCTACTGATGGTGGATTTAATTTTCATCATTTAATAATATAATGATTATTTATTGATTCTTTGCTTAATTCATAATTTCTCACAAGTATTTAAAATGTTTTGAATTATTGCGATGATTCTGACTGTATGCGATTGTTCTTCAAAAATGATTTGAGCAAATTATTTTGTTTACTTCACTCATTCATAAAGTATTTATTTATCTCAAATGACATGTACTATTGTAACGTACAAAAATATTTCAAATGTGAATTAAATTCCTGCTTGATGAGTTATGTTTTTATAGCTATGAATTCGAAACTTTTATTTTGAAATTAAGAAACTTTTTTTCAAAGTGAAAACAAAACTGAATAGTTATTACAAATCAGACATGTCTCTGAATATTGCTTTCATTGCAAGACGGAATATTATTTTGCATTATTATTAATATTTTTGGCACTATTTTTAATATTTTTATTCGCTCAATGAATTTTATCAATTTTAGAATTATAAAGGAGCGAATATTGCATGAACTACAATAATAACTATTGTTGATCTTGAAGTAGATTTGTTCTTCATATGCTTTCTTACACTTACGTCTTACTGAAATATTGTTTTTATTTCTTACTCAGTTGTTGCTTCAGAATTTTCTACACCTTTTTTATCTTTAAAAGATTGCTGTAAACCATGGAGATTCGTTTTTGCATTCATTCTAATATCTGCATATTATTACTTTTCTATCCTTACAACAAAAATTTGCGACTATTTTGTTGTGATTTATATTGATATTTAAGAAATGACTTGAAATGATTTATAAAAATGCATTCCTGACTTGTGCATAAATTATTAAAAACGAAAAGTTTTTTCCACTTTGACAAAAGTAACGAAAATCGTAGCAAAATTAATGATTAATATTACTTTATAGTTATTACATTTTTATTGGAATATTTGCAGTTTTCTACATTTTTTTGCAAGATAATCCGAAAAATGAGTTGATGAAAAAATTAGTGAGTGCCAGCTAGTAAGAAAGTAGAGTTGTACTCCAGCAAGCAGAACGATTCATATGGGATTTTAGCGAAACTTGAACCATTCATATGGGATTTTAGCGAAACTTGAATGATTCATATGGGATTTTAGCAAAAGTTGAGTGATCGATATTGCACAGCTGTTCTCGATTGAGTGATAATTAGTTTCTCGTGGAAGAGGAACAGTGCCAAGATTAGTAATCTGCTTGAATACCAATTTTTCCTTGATGGCATGTACCAAATTATGCTTACTCGTTTTGTTTTTTGTACCTCACACACAATTACTTTTGTTACTCAATCGTCGATATTTGCCCAAACATTCGGTTGGATATAAGGGCTGCAAGTCATCAGTATGTCAGCAGTACTCAACAGTTAAGTTCTTATTTTGTTTTTTGTATTGCAAGTGAAACGTTTGATCAGAAATTGTTTAAATTGCATGTATTCTTGTTTTGCAGAGTAATTTAATATAAATAACTTTAGTAATAATTAAATACAAATAATAATATTATTGCATTCAGTAAGTTAATGGATAAGTGATGTGATTTGATTAGATCAGATTCTTTTTATGTAGGAGATTCTCAGTCTTTTTGTTGTCCATCTGAAGGCATTTTTCGCTCTGATAACAGATTTCATCGTGTTTCAGAACGAGTACTACGAGTATCTCAGTGCATGTAGGAAGAAAAATGCTGAAAATTTATATACCACAAGGAGTAAATCATGTAATCATGATGATCAAATTGCCTTGGCTCGATATCGAAATGCTGTAAACGAAACAGGGTCATTGTTATCGATTTAATTTAATTTAATTTAATTTAAAATTTAATAAAGTGTTTTTTGAAAAAAAGATATCAAGTATTTAGCGCAAATTATTTACTTTTTTATCTCATTTCACTAAACTAAATTTAAAATGTAATCAAATCAAGTGAGAAAATTGTAAATTCCGCTTTAGAAAATGTATTGTTTGTTTTAGTTGGGCCATCTTAGAGGTCGAAACTTTTGATCATGCCGATGAAATCACACAAGCATTTGCTGCTGGACTTCTTGAAGGTCAAAAAAATTATCAGTTTATTAAACGAGGATTTAAATTCTTCAAAGTCTAAAACTCTTTTAATGACCAAAAATTTGAACACTTTAGGTGGTAATTTTTTTTTAATGCAAAAAAAAAATCATGCATAAGACTTAGGCAAAAAGCTAAACTAAACTGAACCATTGCCATTATCAAATATTTAAACAGTACTTTAATAATTACAGAAATTTGAAGTCAAAAATCACTTTTAAATATTATTCCCTAATGTTTAATAATAATTATTATTAATAAATATAATATGTGCATTTAAAATGATTTCAAGAGTAAGTGATCCTGCATAATAAACAGTTTTACGCATTTATATATGTTTGAATGATACAGCAAGCAAAAAATTTGAGGTATTTTAACGCGGCAGTTGATAACGTATCATTTTCATAATACGGTGGAAGGAATGTGTGATGGAAAACATGAATATTGTGTGAAACTGTATAAATACCTGTTAAAAAATTTGAACTGGATCAAGGAAACAGTAAATCAGAAGCCGAAGACGGATGTATATTGGAAACAGGTTTTGAATCAATTACTTTCATTAACTGGATTAAATATTGACTGAGCTAAAGTATAGTTTTATTTAAATTTATTATCTTCAAATTTTCATGTCTACAGATTTGAGCATTAATTATAGCTTTGAAAAGTTTACAAAAATTTCGCATTTTTTGTGCAGTCTGCAAAATATGTAATTTTAACTTGTGAATATGAGTTGAAATTGAAGCTCAGTGAGATTATTTCCAAAAACATAAATTTGAAGACTTACTTGACACGAAAGTAATACTTTTTTTGAGGAGTTTTTAATTAACATAAAAATAAGTATGTGAATACACGAATTATTATTTTTATCGTGAGAAATCGACGGAAATTAAGCAGATGAAGTAAATTCTTTGTAAAAATTTCACGCAGATATACTGTCAATCAAAAATTGTTACTTTTAATAAATATTAAGTAGTATTCATTTTTCTAAATTTAATACTTTTTTAGATGGTATAAATGTATGAGAATTGCGAAGAATAAAAAACTTGAAAAATGTTTCAGTAAATTTTATTACATTTCAGGTAAATCTAACATTCGCGCAGTTAACTGGGATGAATTATGGATATCTCAGAAAAAAATCAACGATCTATCAGCCAACCATTTTGTTCCAAATAACAGCTATTTAGTGAGATTTTACACATAATCAAATTTGGAGATAGCCAGAAGATAATTTTAAATAAACATCTTTATTTCCATCACTTCCATACTTCCAAAAATTAATTCCAGTTCATAGCATTCATAACAGTCAAATTTTGAAGAAGAAATTGTTTCTTTTAAATTGGAACTTTTAAAAATTAATTCAATTGCAAAGCATTAATTAAGTACAAACTAAAATAAAGTATGAACTTAAATATATAAATAAATATTTTAAAAAACTGATAGAAATTTTTGAACATTTTTTTATAGCAATTACTTTACCATTGAGCTTTTCTTGCATAGTTGTAGTTAACTTATTCAGATTTTTTATGTTTAAATTTGCTAGTAGTATTTTTCAATTTGCAGTATGCTCCAACTTGCTGGTGATCTTATCGATCTGACAAAATTATTTGGCATCAGTGAAAAAGATTCAAGTCACTGTTCGGGATTGATAAAAATTGCGCCCAATAATTCAGATTTATTTGTTGCTCATGTGGCCATGTCTGGTTACAATACAATGAATCGAGTCCTCAAGCTCTACAAATTTGCATACAGTTATTTTTTTTAAATAACGCTTGGCAAACTTTTTTTACAACTTCTTTAATAATTTGAAACACAAAATATGGTAAAAATGTAAGAACTTGAACATGATTTCTGCATTTTCTGGAATTACTCAGTATTTCACTTTGCTATTCAAGACAAACAAGAAGTGCCAGGATATGCAACATCATTTTCCTCTTATGCCGGAACCTTGAATTCTGTCGACGATTTTATACTATCAAGCTCTGGTTTGGTAATCCTTGCTTATATTATTAATTTCTTATACTTCTATTCACACGTTTTTCTCCTTAATCCAATCACTTACTAAAATAAAAAGACGGATTCAATAACTTCTTTGCTAATTATATTAAAACTTATCACTCATTATTAACTGAATATTTTACGAATTTGTCGCAATTTTATTCGCAAAAATTAAGCTAATAAATTAGGCAGCCATTGAGACTACCTTTGCGATATTCAATGTATCATTGTATAACAATGTCAAATCTACTGGGCAGTTGCATTGTTGGCTTCGAAGTATTATCGCAACAAAACTCGCAAAGTTATTTTTGCTAATTTCGTGTTAAAAATTAAAATTTTTGAGCATTGTTTATTACAAATGCATACCAAATGATTACAAACAATACTGTAATCCATTCAACCCGCAGTATAGTACGTCTTTATTTCATATCTGGTGTTTCTTTTTTATTTCAGTACAGCAAGCGAATGGGTCAAAATATTTAGCAGGTATAACTCAGGTACTTACAATAATCAGTGGAGTCTCGTAGATTACAAACTATTCATACCTGGGAAACAACTTCCAACTCATGGTCTTTTATGGGTTTTGGAACAAACACCGTATGTTATTTTCAGCGACTCGCAATTTCAAAATAAGTTTAAATCTTTTCAATTAATTAAGATTATTTATAAAGGCGTACCATCGTAGATTTTCTTTTAGCTGATTTCTAATAAAGTAAATATTTTTTTTGTCTTAATCTTATTCTCTTGCTGCATGCATTCTTGATAATTTAGAGGACTAACAGTTTATCATGACATGACATGGTATTTGAGAAAGCATGCATATTGGCCAAGCTATAATATTCCATACTTCGCAGAAATTAATAAGATAAGTGGTTACAAGGAAAAAAGTGAGTCAATGCAATGGTATAATTGGACAAGCAGCCCACGTGCAAAAATTTTTGATCGGGATCATAATAAAGTTATCAACATGAGCACTTTACAGAAGCTGATGAGGTTATCAACATCTGCTGTCACTTTATCATCCTTTAGCTAATTATCAGTCAGATTATTTGGTTGGCTGACAAACACCCTTAAGGAAGCCCATTTTAAGGTAGTCAGTGATTCAGTACTATTTTTTAGATACAACGATTATACACACGATGAATTCAGCAAATGTCATTGCATCCCACCATATACAGCCGAAGCAGCTATTTCAACCCGTGGAGATTTGAATCCTGCTAATGGTACTTACGAGATCGAATCGATGGGACATCGAAACCATGGTGGCATTGATTACAAAGTATTTATTAACTGACAGATAATCTTTTAAAGAACATCACGACTAGGTCTTTTAGTTTCATTCAAGCAAAATATGAATTTAATCCATTTATTGATATTATCTATAAATAAAAAACTAATATATAAATAATAATAGTTGCAAAATTCACATATACAAAAATGTAGTATACTTACGCTTCAGGGAACGAATTATGAGCTCATCAAGAAACTTCGTTTTAAAGCATGGGGTGGACCGACTTTCGACCCCCTTCCAGTTTTCAGGTATTATTTACAACGCAGTTAAGATACATCATACATTCAATTTTGAAATAATAAAACAAAAATTGGTATAACAAAAATTGACTACAATCCAAAATATATTCTCAGCTGGAAAACGACAGATATCAAAGCAAATCATGATGGACAGCCAACAGAATGGAAGTTTGAAGAAATTGAAACTCAATGGGAATGTACCTTGCCATAGCTTTGTTTATCTTACGATTAAATGAAATATCTCTATACTTTATCTTATTTGGTTGTCAATAAGATGTAGTTAATACTTTTGAAACCCTTACATTTTATCTTCGTATTGCGTCAAAATATAATGGCAATGTAGTAAGTGTATCCCGATTAGGGCACTTTTGGAATTAAGACATAATATTCAAATGATCAGAAAATGTATACATATGCATAAAACGTATATTATCAAACTAATTAACACATATACAAGGAACAGACACAATGACAAAGTTACACATTAAAAAAATATAATGAAATTCTACGAAGAGAAAAAATGGTTTTAAACCTTGACAATGATCATCCCTGCACTTTTGCACTCCTTTACTTTTTCTTTCATCTTACCATACTTTAAAACATTAACTTGAGCCAATAAATTAAGAACCATTGAGAAATCATCCTCTTCCAATTTTAGATGCTCTCGCAATTTGTTTAGGTCACTGTAGTAGGCCAAGTAAAGGACTGAGCAAAAATCTGTTAATTGCGACATTACATACTGAATTAGTGCGTAATCGGTGGGAAATGAATCACTTCGTTTAGATGACAAGAAATTTAACATCTTTCCTGAAATAAAAGTAAATTAATGGAGAGTCTGTATATTTGGAGTCGAAAGGATTGCTATTTTAGCTCATGTTAGACAGAAAATACACTCAAATAAGAATTCACATCTCCAAAAAAAAAATACTTAAAATAATGAGAACTTTTCACAAAAATGAGAAACAAGGACAACAAAGCTATAATACCACTTTGAACCCTACCCTTATAATTTCTGCATTTGAGCCATCGCCCCTCAACGTCGTACACGCATAAACTTGCATCACTTGAATCGTTCACTGTTGTTTTCCAAGGTACACTCTCGCCAAACAACTGACAATCTCTTGCCGAACTTGAATTTTTCAACAAGAAGAATCTTATATTGTTTTCATTTGAATTTTACAAATTCAAAACAAAATTCTGCATAATGCTGCCAAAAACTTGACCATATTTATCACCAAAAACAAACAAATATATTGATATTGAGAGCTATGTTCATCCTCTAGCTTTGATAAATTTTACATACGTGATTACATATTTAACAATGGTTATTTGAATGAAAGAGATATCAATTTATAGATAAATAGAAACACGAGGACCTACTTGTCATATTCTCCCTTCCATGGTGCACTTTGCGCTTGCATACAAACTCGTAGCAAATTAATTTTTTTGAGTAAATCTTTGCCTAAACTTTTTCGCTCCTCCACTGACCAAAGTGCTAAATCTTCACCACTTAACAAAGCAAACAGAATCTGAAACGCAAATTCTATTCAGAACTTCAAGAAAAGGTAGTGCTTAATTATAATGAAAAAACCTGGATAGAAATGTTTATCATCACAAAATATTTATTTCAAAATTAACAAGTTTCAATTGAAGTAATTTTAAAAGCATTTATTGTTGTAGAATTAATGTTGATGCTTTATTGAAAAATTTTCGTCTTTCAATATACCTTGTCTAGACCTTCTGTTATAGTAGTTAAGTTCCTTATATAATCATTTTCATCTTGCATTTTACTGAAATAATTTGAAGACCATAAGTAAACAAGACATTAAATTAAATTATTAAAAAATTAAAACCAATCATAAGAAAATTGTTAACAATATTTATCAATAAATTTTGAAGTTTGCAGCCAAGTTTAAATAACGTTTAAAGTTTTGCAGTTCTAATTTTGGAAAATAACTACTTTATATATTGATGAGAAAATACAAAGTACTAATGTTAATTTACTACCGAAATAAACTGACACAAGGCTAGCACCAGATTCACCAGAATTAAGACTGTGATTATAACAATCTTTTAGTTTTAGAATCGGCACTGCAGCACAAAATAGAGTTCCTGATTGGGGAGAATGAGCAATCCTTGAAAGTTTTTCATATGCATTTGCAATTTCTTTTATGAATTCATCATATGCCTGAAATTTTTTAGAAAACAGTGCTTCAAAGAAAAAATTGTTTTTTCTAATTACAAAGTTGACAAATTGCTTTTTTTTTGCAAATTTCTAATTTGAGCAGATTTGTTATTGAAATTGATTATCTGTGTGAGTCGATTTTTATATTAAAAATTTGCAAAGTGCAAAGAATAAATTTACGCATGGTGCTAGAAACTGGACTTGCTGCAGTAATGGTGAAGGATTATCATTCAAGAACTCCAGAAATTTAATGTCAGTATCTGTTAACTCATGTCCTTTACAACATCTCGAATCACACAATACTTTTTGAAAAGCACTATTTTCTAAACGCTTCAATAACCGTTTTCCCTGAAAATATTTTGAAAAGTAATGACAAATAAAACAAAATTATTACTCGATCTTTAAAACAACTGCAAACAGAATTTTTAATTTATAAGTAGCAGCTAAAATAAACCTGCTCAGCTAGTGACTGAACTTTGATTACAGCAGATTTTGACACTTTTTTCTTTTCTTCGTATAATTTTATATCGATAGTTTTGGCTATTCCAATCAATCGAGTAAGATGAGACCTAAAAACCAGAATTTTCAAATTTTCAAGACTAACCAAATTACAGCAGTGAAGTTTTGAAGAAACGACGCTCACTAAAATTAATTGAAATTCATAACAGTAACTACTTCTTGAAATATTTTGTTTAGCAGCAAACATGTCTCGTTTGAAGTTTCGCAAAAATATTCATACTAATTTCTTCTCTTCTAAAAATTTTTTAAATTGTTTCTAACGAAATTTTTTATAAAAACTGCTCTTTCTTCATGTAAATGATAGTATTTTACGAAAAGATATATCAATTAAAACTAAAACAAACCTGAACAATGTTTGATTACAAACTAGTAATGGTGTTAGCAAGCGTTTACTTATTTCAATAAATTCCTTGAATACCGCAGCTGATGGCTTTAAAGAAGATAACAATGCAATGGATATCGGTCTCTGAAATGAAAATGAAATTACGCATTTCCTGATTAAAGGTCCTTATTTGTTTTTAAATAATCAATTTTTACAGATAAGTTGACTTCTAAGATTAAAGTAAAAACGGACTTGAAAAGCCCGAGCATACAAGTCGAATATGGTAGAGTAATGAACACATGCATAGACGGCCATTTGCTGATTATAAACAATCGTGCTTGAACCAATGATTACTTCAGCACTCATCAACCAAAGTGCTACATTGTCCAAATCAAGATGTTGATTGCAAGTATGGACTGGATAAGAATATAGTGGTCTTGGACCTTGCACCTAGAAACTAAAAAAGAATATTTTTTTCAAATCTTTCTGAATTCATTTTAGTTTGATCGCAAGTAACGGATAACACATCTGAATTTTTTGTGAATTCTTCTTTATACTTAAGTTTATTAGTATTCACCTATACCTTTTTAATCTCCATCAAACAATCATCAGAAGGCAGAAAATTAAGGAAGGCATACTTTTTTACATCCCATACAATAATTGAAACTTTTACAATGACTACTTTATTTTCATTCAAAAGGCAAACTAATATGCTGTGAAACGAAGAAAGAAGTTTAGTATTTAATTATTTACAGTAATTAAACATCAAATTTCTTTCTTTGCAGTGTGCACTAGACCTTTCCCCTGAAGAGCTTAGAAAAATGATAGAAAACAATTCTTGACTTTTAATAAGTAACGCTAATTCTTCAAAACAAATCTCTTTTAAAAAGTAATGAGCTAAAGATTAATTAAAACCTGGCAAAACTCGATTACAGTAATGATATTTTTCGGGCAAGATGTCATTCGATACCATGGGTCAACGATTCGTTTACCCCATACGATAGCTTCATCTACAATACTCATAACACTGCTTTTCTTAGAAGATTTCTTCTTTGGATCTTCTACAACCTGCAGAACACAAAACTATAGTTCAGACGCAGAAATATCGGAAAAAGTGCAAAGGGGAGACCAAGTTTGCTCAAAATGTTTGCATTTCTTACTAATCAAATCATTCTTGCCAAGGCCGATATTATGTACTCTGTTATGACTTCGTAATTCTATTTTAAATACACGCAAAAAAATACCACTACAATACAGCATATATTCAGTTTTGAGTCTTAGCAGCCATAATGAGATAAGACTGTTAATGTTAACAAATGAAATCTCCATAAATTTTTGGTCACGCTGGCAATTTCACCAGAATACTTTATTTTCAAAATTTTAGCTTAAATACAACGACAGTAAGTCATACGATTCTTATATTAGTACTTCCTTGGCAATTTTATAACATTAAAGAAATAGCACGAAATTAAAAAGCAAATGGTACGGGAAACAAGTACTATGCCTGATAAAAATACTGTCTACGAATTGCAAATATATCCATGATTAGCTTTACTGAAAAGTAAAACAAAATCCTTACAACAATGAAGATAAAGTTTTGAACAAATTTACAATTTATTTTCCATAGCTTAATAAAAGATTTGAATAATTTGCATAATGACAATAGAAAAAACCGGCAAGGGAAGCTTCACAAAAGAAGACCCGTCCAAAAGTAAGTTTGAAAGTATTGTAGTACACAAATGCCTCCAAATAGTGAACAGATGTTTCACTCTTGATTCATTATTTAATCACTAAACACAGCTAACTCTATGATATAAATTAAAGTAGTTTTTAGTAATAAAACACCAAAAGAAGAATGAAATTTTGCATAACGAACCCATTTTTTGAAGGAAGAGGAAATTTAAAATTTAAAAAAGAGCAGTCTAATCGTAGCTTTTATTGTTTTCTATAAATCCTTACAGAAAAAATACAAGCTATTATCGTTGGATTAAGTAGTATATACTTATTACAACTGTAACCAAAGATTACAAACTTTGTTTTATCAAACTATGAAACGAAAACTACGAGAAATTAAAATTAAAACCCGTGAAAATGCATAAAAGTTTGAGTAAATGTAATAAATAAAAGAACAGAAACTGCAGTGTAAGAAAAATTTATTGCTGCTTGACAAGGCTCATCAATTATTTCATCGCCAACGTATTCAGGAATATTTTCTTCGATTTCGTCTTGACAAAAACCGTATTTATCATCTACTGGAAAATTTTCTGGACGGCATATTTCATTACACGGTGGACAAATAATAATTCCTTCACGTAGCCAACCATTTATAATCTGAATATAACAAGAACTTATCAAAGAGTTATTAGTAGTTTCAGAATATTTTTTGCCGAATAGACGGCAATTTGTAGAGAATTCGGAAATTATCACATTTAATTTTGTGTTTTGATTATCTGTTATGAACATAAAAAATACCTTTATGATATTAATAAAAAAACATATTTATGATTTTAATCTTATTTTGGTTTTGAATGATTAATCACTTTTTAAAATTATTTCTGCTCTATGAGAATGAAAATATTTCGCAAATTATTTGCGAAGTTGAGAAGTCATTAATTAAGCAATAAAAAATTAGCATGAGAATTTTATATCCGTCATTTCAAGATAATTCAAGAAATTATCCAATTTTACCTTTTTTATGTGAATATACTGACCAACAAAATAGCAAGGATACGATAAGCTTTCATTAAATACACTGATGTGTAGTCGACCTTCGTGACATTCGTACTGGAATGGAATAAAGAATAAACTTATGTAATTATGATAACTTGAAAAGAATTAAATAAAAAACAAAGTTTAATTTTATCAGTACTTACTAAGGTCAGTAAGTTTTCAATTTGGTACTAAACATCTGTACAGATTCTGCTTTCTAGATACATCGAGCAAATTTAATTTGTTCCATTCTTGTCTTGTATTGGCTAATTTTTGCAATAATACCCAATTTTTGTTTGCGTGAATTCAAACTTTACAGATAGCAGCGTGCTTTGCATAAATAAAGTGAACTTTAGATCTGATCTTTACCTGATAACAGCCAGCTTTGTATTGCATAAATGTCCGAATATGACCACACTTACGTTCTGTCCAAAGAGTTGCTAAATCAAAGCATTTTGATTGATTACCATAAACTTCAAGAATTGAATTTGTATGTATGGGAGCGAAGTTCCCAACTAATTCGCAGCGACTATCACGGCGATCAGTTGAATTCGAAGCTTTCCATTCAAATTCCTCAAAGGAATTACAGCATTCAAGTCGTTTTTCTACGAATTTCTAGTTATTTATTATTCTCAAAGAGTAAAAGTTTGCTAAGTTTGCATGTTTGTTTGTGAACAAATGAAAAATTTACTTCGACAAAACATTTCAGATATTTTAAGAACCAACAAAAATGCTGTAAACTTTTGAAAGCCAAACATTCATTTCAATAATGCAAATATTTGCGCGGCAAAACATAATAAGGAATGGAGTGAAAACTTCAGTACAGTGACAACTAATTATGCATGAATGAATGTACTTGATTATATGGACAGTAGTCAGCTAGTTCCACAGACCCTCCGTAATATACTGTATTACCATTTTGTACTTCATCTAATAGCACAAAATTACGATATTCCATTGGAATTGGGTGTCGATATGGCATCTGAATTTTAACTACAAGAAAATAAGTAAATAGGAAATGAGGAAAAAATTTTGCAATTAATTGAACAGTTAGATTTGTGCAGAAGACAATGGCGTCGTTAGCTTGCTCTGCAACATATGCATGATTTACCAAGTTAATCAGAAATCAATGATTATTTTTGATCTAATTCAACGCAATTAAAATTGATTTCATGGCTCATAAGTTAAGAATACTTACATACCAAATTACATAAAGCTAATGAATCTCGCAGTGCTGTGCATCGTGTTGTTGCCAATGATCGTTTCCCGTCGTGTTTTATTTCATCGCAAAATGGTACTGGCAGTAAGTTTCTGTGAGCATTTAAAATGATTGATAAACTTTAGTCAGATTAAGAAAATAATGTGCAATCGCAAACAAGTATAATTGTACTGTATAGGTACTAATAAATATTAATTAGTATACACAAAATTCATTTATGAATATTATGAATTAGAGATAAATCATTAATTAAAAAATTTACTTATTCCATCCAAAAAGTTTTCATAAATGTTTTCTTTTAAAAATCGAATAAAACTGCAAAAAAAGTTAAATAGAATTCACTGACTACTGACTTTATTCAAATTTATAACTAGACCAAGACATAAGATGCAAAATTTAATCCATTTTAAATATGATTTGAATAGATCAAATTTTGCTAATCTTGCTTATCAAAGAAGTTAAATTTGCAAGTGTTACTTTTCCCGTCGAGTTCTAATCCAATCACCACAACTTTTCATAGCAAATTCACAGCCAAGATTACGGCCCCAATGAAGATATTCAGCAGCACTGAATTCTTAGAATTATTCATCGTTTTTTACATAAAAATGATACAAATTTATTGTAAACTACTAATAAGTATTAATTAATACACACAAAATTCATTTCTGCCATTTGTTTAAAAACAATTTTCTGCAAGCAACAAATTTCGACGAAATTTGTTCAAGAAGAATTTTGCTATTATCAATTTTGAGTGAGCAAAATCAGCAAAATAAGTCTGTTGAAGAATATTTTATATTTCATCCGAAAATAATAAAAGTTCTTAAGCTTAACAACCTGTAGTTTGCTTTATACCAACCACTATCTTCCAAAAGCGCAAGTGTCAAACGGGAATATACAGGATTTTGAGTGTGCGTACCAGTCATCGCCTCGTTCTTAATTATAATTTACAAAAATATCAGATGTGTTGTGTCGATTTTTGCATTACGTGAGAAATAAACAGAACTTCTTTTTTCAAATTCAGACTTTCTTCTAAAAGTCAAATTAAATAATTACATTTGAATATAAAAATGAGCAAACAAGGGATTTTTGTAAAAGATATGTGTGCACAATAATTTGCCAAAATTTACTTCAAAAAGACGTTTTTCCCAGTGTGTAAAAGCAGTACCATCACCACCTTGATTCTCTAATTCTGCTCCTTCTAGAGTAGAACAATTGAAGTGAAGCTGAGCTTCCTGCTGTACACGAGGAGTAATCATCACGTGTATTGGATGCGATATCTGTAACTGTAAGAATTGAAAAAACTATTAAATGTAGCTTATATTTACGTGCATTTTTTAACTGTCTACTGAGTTGCTATCAGAAATTTACACTGACTTATGCATTTTCATCCTAATAAATTAATGAACAATTCCCTTGCGAATCTCGGTAATTTTTACCATTCCTTCTGCGGTCCACCAATCATCTCGTACAATTGTTTTGATAGTATTTGCATCCCAGTTGTAATATCCACGTTCTTTGTTTAGTGATACTGGCTTGTTATAACGATTTCGACGAGTTCTAGGATTTCCATTTTCATCACGAAAAAATGCATATAATCCTGCGGAAAATCCCAAAGCATGTAATATTTCATGCTTGACCGTGGAAATCAATACTTCTCGGTCATGAGCTGCAGTAGAGAGAGCATTTGGGCATAAATTTACATGTCCAGCAATTGGCCTAAAAAATTTTTAATTATAAATTTAACTTATGCAGTGAATAAAATAACTAAAATATTTTTGCTTTTGAGTATAATTGTTTTCTAAAGAATTGAAAAGCAAACAGTTATGCTTAAAATAGCTTTAATTGCAAAAGAAATTTGATATTTGAGTTTAGTTTAATGGTTTAAAGTTCAAAATTAAAATAAGTAATGGACCGGTCGAGATCAGCTTCCTGTTGACAGTGTGCAGCATACGCTACAGTATCGACATTTTTGCAACGGTCTGAAAGTACAGCTGAAACATAGAGCAAAAAATCCGTATCTGGTACCCCGATTCCATCAGGAGGTCCCATATTCCCACAGTTTTCAAAATATGAAGATGTACAATAGCGGCATTGCTGAAATGAGATGGTTTCTAGCTATTATTTACTTATGACCTTTATATTTCAATTTATAATTTACTCTTATTATACTTAATCATCGAAAATAAAGTTCTGAATAAAAAATCAATAGCAAATTATTGCCTTCTGACCTTCAGATTCTAAAAAGATTTGATAAAATTTGGAAGTGACTGAAAAGCTATTTTGCTGAGGATTAGCAAAGAAAGTAAGGTGATTTAATATAATTAGAATACATTTCGAATAATAGAAAAATTTGCTTAAAATATTTTTTAAATGTTAGTTCCTTCTCTAATAATTATTACCATTTGATTGATATAATAATTATATTTTTAATAATGTGTTTGTATTATAAATACTTAATAAAATAAAAACTTTATAATAGATTTTGACCAATTTTTCTTCATAATAGATTTTATATAGTAAATGCGTCGAATCTGATTACTGTAAATTGAATTTCCTGACAATAATTTGATGAAAAGTGCATAGCAGATATAAGATATAAGGAATGCAGTAATTACTGGTAATCACAAGGAAAATTTCAGTTAATTAAATTTCATGATTTCAGAAATTGAAGTACTAAAATTAGCATAAATTTACAACTTACAAATAAATGTTCGTCAGGAATGATTACTTCACCACAACTTGTTTCTACTTTACAACCCAAAACGCATGATTGTCGTTTCTCATGAGCACGCATATAATACAGATTTGACAAACATTTTCTGAAAAAAAAAACTGAATAAACTAAATTTAAATTTAAATTATTTATAAAAGGCTGAATGAAGATTTTTTGAAATAATTAATAACGCTGACAAATTTTTGTTAAAAATAGTATGCATAAAAAGTTTTAAATTCAGTCACGAGTGAATTGCCATTTCAGTTCCCAATTGGTTTCGATAACTTTTTTAGTCTTTTATTTTGAGAATTTTCAAATTTTTATGGTTCAGAAATGACCAATGATGTCTGTGCACTTTTATGCAAAAAACTTTCGATAAATTTATGATTGCCATAATTGTAATTATTAAATTATCTATGATTGATAATGAAACGAAAATGAGCTTACATAATTAAAAGCAAAATATATGCAAGAAATAATCAAATTACTCATAAAATTGAATAATTTCAATCATAATACTCAAAATTCAATTTATTCATGAAATTATAATTTTAATTTAATGAATAATTTATTATATAATACAAAGTAATTGCAAATAAATATTTTAAAAGGGAAATTCAAGCGTTAAAAATGACTTTTATCGAAGAGATAAGTAATTAATAGTCAAAGAGTAACAGAATAAGCGTAACGTAAATTTGCATAATTAATTTCAAGCACAAAACTGCAAAATGTTAGGTATGATCCTGGAATAAAGCCTAGTTTTTAAGCTTTAATACAGTAAGATTATAATTTTGTTTCTGCAGTTTTTGCCAATATTGTTTTGATTAGTTTCCTTTGAATAATTTTGTCATTCAGTGTGATTGGATTATTTTTGAATTATTATACTATCACTTAGCTTGGATTAATTTTTTGCATTTCTCTTTGTTTTCTAAATTTTTCATCCAATCACTTTTGGAATTGTACTTAGAAGACTAACTCTTTGAGGCTTAGGCTTAATGCACTGCAAATTTTTAGACAGTTCGATTCTTTGTCATTTCAGTTATATTAAAGCATTCATATAATTGCTGGATTCTGAACAAGTATTCGACGCAATTGGGCACTTTTTCTATCCTGGCACTGCATATTTGGAAGCTTCTGTGCAAAGCAATTATTTGCCAGAAATATTCAACTTCAAGTGAGACTTACATACAAAGGCATACGAGTGCACACAGACACACACACACACACACATTCAGATGCAATAAGAGGCCACAAAATATAAAAGTTTTTAAATTTTTATATAAATTCGGCAGAAAAAAGTCATTAATAGTTATACAAATATTATTGACCTGTTGAGTCGAATTGGAATTTGAGTTGGACGTACTGCAAGGGCAATCTGCCAGTAATTCACAGCTTCAGGCAACAACGATGTCTACAAAAAACATATTCAATGATCTATCTAATTGTTTGAAAAAAAACCATAAAGACCACAAAGCAGTCCCACACATTGATAATTACTGAACTGTATTCATAACAGTGAGTCATCACATCACTAAAATGAACAACGTAACAAAAAGTTTTTCAATTACGTGTAATTATTATTAATAATAAAAAGTATAATTATTATTGCAATGCAGTAACACTTTTGCAAAAAATATCTCAGTTCAAAAAACAAAAATTAATGTGCACACTGATTTTATATTTAACTTTTTATTGCATTAACGAAAATTTGTTGCTCCAAAAGTTTTTTTCAAAAAAACAGAGTTAATGCATTTAAAAGAAGAATTATTTAATTAACGAAATTAATATTTTGTGAGCATCTTTGTAAAAAACGACGATTACTTGCGTAGTTCTCGTGCACTTACTTGTGTAATGGCCAACCATACACACACACACACACACACATATATATAAATAAGTCTTCTGAATTTTTCTTAACTTTCACTTTCTTTCAATTAAGTATGAAAAAAATTTGCTCATTTGAATAACAGTACTACTTAGTGCTCTCTAATGTATTTTTTTCTACAATGAAATAGTAATAAAAAGGTACGGTCAGTGTTTACAATAGTATTTACTGACTACTTTGCAAATTATGAATTATACTTTGTGAACTGTCCAATTTCAGATAGACTATATGCATTTTTAGGATATTATTTGCCTTTCATTTTTTATATTTCTTTTCACATTCTTTCTTCGCTTAGATAAAAAATACAGTTTTTGAATTTGTTTTGTGAATATTTTACGATTACAAAAAAATTAAGAGAGGATTTATGGAGTGAGTATAAAATTGGGTGAAACGAAACAGAACAATTAATCTTTACGCATTCTTTCAGAGTTTTAATTTTGAAATTAACAACAATTTCAGTCCAATTTTTTCGTTAAATTTGTAATTCTAAAATACAATCATCAATTTTTATTAGAAACAAACCAAAGAGCACTCTTTTCTTTTTGGCTCTAATGATTTCATTGACGTGCACAACAAATTCACAAAATGCTTAAAATCGCAATCGAAATTGTTTTTTTATTGCGACTTTAATAAATTTTTTAAAATAGTAATTTCAAATAGATATCAAAGTTCAAATGGATATCAAATGAAAAGGCTAAACAATGCAAATTTTGTATCCAAACTCGAAGTAATGAAAAAACTGAACAATTGAATCATAAAAATCAAAACAATTTTTAATTTTGGAACTTACATTCACAAATAATTGAAGTTCTGGCGATAACCTGAAATGAAATTAAAAAGGATCAATTTGGACTGAGTTTATTGCTAACTTTGCGGTGATCTAAATTTTTGTCGAGTATTATACAACTGAAAATGCAAATTGAAACGAAAAAATTAAAATTGTTGTATTAATTCCATATTATGCATAATTATACATAATGTGTGCAATCAAATAATTCGATTTTTAATTTTTAGTTAATAACACATATAATTTAATATCTTACAAAATTTAGAAAAAGCAGTGAAAAAATTATCATTTGACGTCGATTAATTTGTTTGTGAACAAATTAATTATTTTTGAAAAGTAATGGTATTTTAAAGAATTACAACATTTAAGGATAATACAGTAATTAAATTTTTAAGACAAAACTATGGTAACCTGTCAATGCTAGCTCTATCATAATGCAAATGAATTCGTAATGATTGAAACGTATCATCATCATCTACGCTACGCCTTCCGCGAATCTTATCATTTTCATTGCTTTCTTCCAGATTGCTGTCAAGAGGAACATCGAAAACAATCTCTCTTACATCTGGTATCTGAATACGGTACTTTCATAATTCTATCATTATAATTATTTCTTACTGTAGCCTAAATTCACAATTTTTTCAAAAACAAACTATCCATTCAATTGAAATAATGAATGATTGTTTAAGTCACAAATTTTTTCAATGCAATTATCGAAAGATTTCGTAAAATTTATCATTTTTTCAGTTATAAATTTAAATTTTAAAATGTAAATTCCCAAAATTTAACCTTATAAGAACAAGGTGCACTATCTATTTCGGTTATTAATGTTGTAATACCAATAAAGCATAAGAAAATACTGTATAATTGGCATTGACAAACGGTTTTTGGCCTGGTACGAAAATGAGCTTCAGGTCGAGGTTTTTGAATACTTTTTATTTTTGACCATACAGAAAAGCCATTTGCCAAGGCCATAACAAAATAAGACTAATTGTAATATTACCAATCACGGTAATTACAGTAGTTAGGCCAGTTGTAACAGTATTAATTGCTTCAGAATTATAAAATGAATTCTGCGACATTAACAATGCTAAAGATTACTTTGATGATTCTCTACTGAGAAGAAAAATATAACAATAACGGGTGGAAGAAACTTTTATTAGAATTAAAATTGCCCGAAAAAATAGTTCAGAAGGGCGTTTCTCGTTGAATTATCATCACTGTTGATTACATTTGATTCCAAAATTTTAGTCATTTTTCCGCTTAAATAAAAGTTCTTTCAGTTTTTAATTATTATGACATCCAAACATAGGTGAATAACCTTTGACCCTTCATGACATGCGACTACATATTATCTTTCACAAAAACAAAACTTCATAAACCTTTTTTTCGACTTTCAAAGCTCTATTAGATAGCATAAGCCAAGCAATATATTCATTAAAAAGTGCGTTTTCTCAGATTCTCAAATGAAAATATTTGCATTTAAATAAATGAAAAAAAAATTGCGTACTTGTGATAAGAATTATTATTTTCGTAATTAAATAAAGAAACTTATTTAATCATTTTAGGTACTAAATATGAATGACATATTAAACTAAGACAAAGATATGCTGAAAATATCAAAGTTATCATGAAATAAAGCAAATAATCAAAGAGATTCACATTGTAACAGATAAGGTCATAAGAGATGACCTTCTTGTCGAATGTGCAGGTTTAAATGTCATCTTATTGAATAATGTCAGAATTAAAAACTTTATACAAACTTTCTTACAATCTTTTCAAATTCGACCCCTTTATTTTGCTAATTTTTGCAGCTGAAAAAGAAGAAAATATGCCATTAATAATAAAACTATTATGCATTTAATTAATTTTACTTAGTGAAATTGACCTCAAATACAATAGTGAAATTTCAAAAAAAAAAAAAAATTAGAGGTCATACAAAGATTGATGAAAACATTTGATAAACAGAACTGATACATATGGAAAGCTGTAAGAACAATGCAGACTCTTAGCGAGTAGAACTTCAATTAAAGTAAAATAAATTTTGGATGAAACGAGCAGCAAAAAAAGCAAAATTTTCAATGCTCACTTTTTGCTGTTTGTTTTTTATTCACTACTTCCAGTGAATAATAACTAACTTTCTTTGCTAATTCTCTTTCTTCTTCTATTCGAATAATTTGAAACCATTTTTGAGTCTCAGTCTTAACTTGATTAGTCTGACTTGCGAACTAATTTTGTATACTTACTTGCAAATTAATTCCAAACGATTTAAGTGAATAAAATAAATAATCATTTTGTAGTGCTTACTTACTTTGAAATGATTCAATGAAAACAAATTTATTCATTCATTCACTCGCAGCAAATAAATTAAACGACTGAATGTAAAAAGAAAGCTTAATTATTCTTTAAAAATTATCAAAGTTTACATCAGTGGATAAACAAGTCTAAGTGACGAGATTAATAAACAAAAATATGTTATTATTATAAAATTATGCAAGTTAACGTTACTGAATTTGAAATTGCAAATAATGTGTAATAAATAACTTAAGCACAGATCGCATCACAACACTACTTCCAATGCTAAAGTCATTAAAGTCTGTTTCCCTGTGAATATTAAGACATTTTTATTTAGAAGTATATTTTATCTAATTATCTGTCAGCAAACAAAGTACTCTTTTTCAACCTTATAGAAAATGAATAAATAAGAATATATTTAATTAATTTTTAAATAATTTTCCGCCATTGAAGCTCAAATAAAAAGCAATCAATTAATTAATATATGCAAGCATGATTATTAGTCTCGTGAGTTTAATTATAAAGCAATCAAATGGCTGATAATGCATGCTTAGTTTAAGTTTAGGTAAGTTAAGCTAAATATTTTAATGAAGTAACTTTAGTTTTGCATTTAGAAAAAGAAATGAACAGCGTATAATACTTTGCAAATTACACAAAAATGATCACATCAGATTACTACGAATAATAGCAAAGATTGTTTAAAACAAGTTTAAATTTATTCGAAATTCGATACTTAGTACAAAATATCCTTATTATTATTCTGTATTAATATTGAAAATCTTGGTGCAAACGAAAAAATACAATAGGAATTTTAGGCAATCATAGAAGGATACAATCTCTGATGTGATGGAATGGAATTATTTTTAGCTATTCGAAAACTAATATTAAAAAGGTAATTAAATGAATATGCTCCAATGATTCTTGCTGGAATGGAATGATACACTTTCCAAGTCATTTTCTTCTTAAATATTCTGCTCATTATTTCTAATGATTCAAAAAATAGATCAAAAAAGAGGTTAAATCATCTCCAACACTCTTACAAGAAATTATCTTCTTCTGTTGATCACATATTATAAAAAACATACGCATTATTACGTCTGAGAATGTGGCAAAAAGTCAGAAAGAATGGGAAAAAATTATTTTGAGCAATTTTTTTACTGAAGGAACTTGCGTACTGATAAAATGATATGCCTTAGAAGAACTAACTAACTTCTCGGGCCCTCTTATTTTTTATATTTTATTCTTACAATTATTATTATTATTATTCTAGCAGACATTTTTAAGATGTTCTTGCAAAAACTACTCAATTCTCTTTCATTTACAATTTTCTTCAATCATTTCTGCAAAAAGGCAAGTGGATAGATAGACAAGCAAGCAAGCAAGCAAGCAGGCAGGTAGATTGGTCTAGTCTAAGCCTAAGCCTTTAGACTTAGACTTATGATCGATTCCTCTTGACCATAACATGGAGTGCACTCACTTCAACTGTCACTTTACCACTAGGAACGGAAATAAATTACTTGAAAATGATTGAAGAAAGGAAAAGGAACGAATAAGCGTCGGCTGATACTGCACTGCTAAGAAAGTTTAGAAATGCCTGCATGGATGAATAGATGAAGAACGAATAGATGACTAGATGATTGGATGACTGGATGACTGGATGACTGGATGAATGAATGGTTAAATATGATTATGGATGGAAAAACAAATGTTTGAATATACTTTCTTCAGAATGCAACTCTATGCTATTGTTTCTTTTACAAATACAAATTTCACACGCATTACATAATATAAATATAAATATTTAAAAAATATAAGTATAAAAAATATAAAAGTAAATAAGTATATATATGTACATATATATAATTGGACAATGCAATGTATACACATACATGCATACACAAGCCTACATTT